CAGAACGGAAAAACGGCATGCATGCAAGCAAGGAAAAATGGAAGGATGCAAGCAGCGAGACTGCGTGAGCGGCGTGAGTGGCGGTGGCAGTGGGTGGCGGGTGGTGGCAGCTGCGGGGCGGGCACCAAGGACAATACCGTACCTCACCACACCTGTCACACACCTGGGGAGGGTCCCTTGGTGCCGCCCGTGAGAGCGGCGAGAGGAGGAGGAGGGCGAGAGCGCAAGCAAGCAGTGCAAGGCACGAGTGGGAGCGAGATAGTGCGGATTGAGTGAGATAGCTTAGCCGGATTGACGAGGGTCGAAGGAGCATGCAGGCGTGCTCCCCTTGCATGTGATCCCTGCGCTCCCTGCCCCCCGTTTGTGTGCCTCCTTGAGTCCGCTCTGCACCATGAGAGGCGAGCAGTGGTCAGCAGGGCGCGCAGCAGCAGTGTTGCCCGCCGTGCGTCATCCCACTGCCGGCCTCTGCTGGCTGTGCACAAGGAGCAACCAGGCAGAAAGCACAAGACTGAGTGGCAGTGAGAGCAAGAGCAGGTGAAACCAACGTCCGGCAAGAAAGCAAGTCGAAGAAAACAATCGGGACGAACGAACGAACGAATGGTAAGCACAGTGGAGCGACAAGTGAGTGACAGAGGTGGGGTGGGTGGGGAAGGCGCATGACGACAGTGGGCCAAGGGCACCAAAGCAGCGAGCTGAGCCAGCGAGGGGGGACTGGGGACGCGCGCATGGCATGAGTGCACAGCTATCCCAAACCACACCCACTGGACTCTCTGGACTGGACTGGACTGTACATGAGCTCAGCTGCCATAATGCGCCCTGACTCACCGCCGCCATGCGCCTCACAGGAACACGTGTGCTTGGGACGAGAAACGCGGGATGCAGCAACACAACACAACACAGTGGTGTAACGACAAGAGGGCGTGGGGGGGAGGGCGGAGTGGCGTAGCAACACAACAGAGTGGTGTAAGGGTTGAGGGGGGAACTTAGCCGGGTTCAGAAGCTGCTCGTTGCTTGCTGATCGCCGTTTTCCGCACTCGCCGCAATTTCTCGACACGTTCCGATTCGCCATTCACCACGTCAGCACCGCTCCCCGCAGTTGGCACCGCAGCTCCCCGCAGTTGGCACCGCCGCTCCTCGCAGTTGGCTACGATCGCAGGCCCGCTCTGGTGTTGCCTGGCTGTTGACAGCAGATGTTGACTGCTGCTGCACGTGCTGTTGCTCTGCTGCTCTGCCACGCTCGATTCGGCCTGAGGGCAGAAGATGGATGGAGGGAGAAGGAACAGCGAGAGGGCAGGCAGAGAGAACTTGGAATGTTATGTAGCAGAAAACATGTCACGGTGGGAAAGAGAGCAGAGATCCTGGAAAGGAAGAATGAGAATGAAATGGAGTTTTCAACTACAGGAAATTGAGTGGTTGGGGAGGGGGGGGGGGGGGGGGGGGGGGGGAAGGCGCATGGCGACAGTGGCCCACGGCACTACAGCAGCGAGCTGAGCCAGCGAGGGGGGACTGGGACGCACGCATGGCATGAATGCACTCCCTCTCCACTACTCTATCCCACCACTCCCACTACACTGCACTCTACATGAGCTCCACTGCCACAGCACCATGGACCACCACCACCATGCGCCAAGCAAGGGATGCGACGTGAGGAGGCGTGCCATCTGGCAGCAGTAAAAACGACGGATGGGGAGAGCGAAGGAGGAGTGAAGAGTGGGGAGCGCGAGGAGACTTAGCTACAGGAGAATGTTGAAGCTGATCATCCGCATCCGCACGTTGTCACGCGAGGTACATCGCACGCCCTCGCACGCACTTAGTCGCCACCTTCCGCACACGGACGCGCGCGGACGCACACGGTAAGTCGCATGGCGCTCGTCGGACATCGTCGCATGCGGCATGTCGTCAGCATCCGCACATCGTCGCACGCCAATCGTCAGACGTGGCAAGTCGCCATCTTCCGCACACCGTCGCACGCGGGTCATCCGAACACGATCGCACACGGGACGTCGCCAGCATCCGCGCACAGTCGCATGCAGTATGTGGCCAGCATGCGCACAACGTCGCACGCGGAAGGTCGCACGCAGTTGGTCGCCGACTTCCGCACACGATAGCACGCGGTACGTCGCCATCATCCGCATGGCCTCGCACGTAATTAGTCGCCATTTTCCGCACACGAACGCGCGCGGTACGTCGCATGCCGTTCGTCGCACATCGTCGCATGCATCCGAACAGCGCCGGCACACGAAACGTCACACGCGTTACGTCGCCATCATCCGCACACCGTCGCACGTTTTTAGTCGCCATCTTCCGCACACGGACGCGCGCGGTACGTCGCATGCCGTTCGTCGCACATCGTTGCATGCCGTTCGTCTCACAACGTCGCACGCCGATCGTCGGACGCGGTAAGTCGCCATCATCCGCACACCGTCGCACGCGGTAAGTCGAAATCATCAGCACACCGTCGCACGGGGAAACATCGGCCGCGGTACGTCGTAAGCCGTTTGTCGCACATCGTCGTATGCACCATGTCGCCCAGCATCCACATAGCGCCGCATGCGGAACGTCGCACGCGGTGAGTCGCCATCATCCGCACACCGTCGCACGCATGCGGTAAGTCGCCATCATCCGCACACCGTCGCACGGGGAACATCGCCCGCGGTACGTCGCATGCCGTTTGTCGCACATCGCCGTATGGGCATCGCCCAGCATCATCACAGCGCCGCATGCGGAACGTTAAGTCGCCATCTTCCACGCGGTTGGCCGCCGTCTTCCACACCGTGACGGTCAACCGCGTGAAGTCGTAATTGTCCACACACCACACACCGTCGCACAGGGACGTCGCACGCGGTTCGTCGCCATTTTCCGCACATCGTCGCAGCATCCGCACAAAGTCGCACGCAGTGCGTCGCCGTCTTCCGCATGGTTGCGCGTAATTCGAAATTCGCCACTTGCCGCTACACCATTGCCGCACGTTGCCAGCCGCTGACTGTTCGTCGCTAGCCTTTCGCCATTCGCTGCTCGCCGTTCGCCATTCACTGCTCGCCGTTCGCCATTCGCTAATCGCCAATCGCCGCTATCATTGCTCGTCCGCTCGTCTTCCGCCGCTCGTCAGGTTGCACCCTCTTGCTCGGAGTAGTTAACCCATTAGTTTCCGTCTCTGTGTCGTGTGTCACTGTGTCGCCGTGAGTCACCGTGACGCCGGATGCCGGTTGCCTTGAGACTGCTTCCGTCGTCCCGAAGGTGCTTCTCTTGTTGCTGATGATGATACTTATCATCACGGATGCTGGATGCAGGTCGCCTTGATACTTGAGATTCACTCGCCATCCTGACCATTACGGCGCCAATCTGACGTGAAAACCGTCGACCCTGTTGGAAACTGCCGTAATAACACTCCGTGCTTCCAGTGCTGCCTGAAGATGCTAGCAGAAGCGTCTCGTATGTCATTCCTGACACGGTGCTGCTTCACGTATCATATGCCTTGACTCAACGTTCGGTGATCGGCGAGCATAGCAGCCATCGGCGAGTATTTGGATGTATGACCATCTCGGAACGACGCTTAAATGCCGGAACGGAAGCGACATACGCTTCAATTATATTGGTGGAAACCTTTTCAGGAAAGACCCGTCACGGGTCATGTTGCTGAGCTGAAAACTATTGGTTAATAGTCACTTGTAAGATTTTTAGATGCTGGAACTTAACGTGGTAGTAGTGTTCGCGGAAACTAAATCGTTGGAAATGCCTTAGAGGTTACGTATAATAACTACCGCAGTTATAAGCTAAGAGGCGAGTAGTTAACATCAGCCTTATCAGAAGCTATATGCTGACACGGCTCTACCAGTTCTCCCACTGGAACAGGCTTATCGAAATAACTACTGCCATAAATCGTCTTATGATTATGATCTAATCGTAATGAAGCAACATCTCTCAGAGATTTCGACAGGAGCCATGGCGAGCTGAGAAAGCCATGGAAACAAGCACGAGCTGAGAAAGGCTGACAAGAGAGAATCAGTGAAATGAATCAAGGAACTGGAATTCGGCAGAGGTGAGTGGAATGGCCTTGGGAATGTCGTCCGGAGGCTGCATACACTTGCTGGAGGGAGGCGATGACAGGCGAGAGGAGTTGCCAAAACAGAGGCTTCCGCTGGACTCCGCCCGCCACACAGGAAGTCGCAAACTATTCGCTAGCAAATGACAAAGGAGTAACTCATCAGACGACTTTCGCTACCAGGATGAGCCGAAAGCAGCCGCTAAACGGCGCTGAACTGGGTCTATATCCCGACGAGGCGCGGTTTTTGAATATTCCGCGCGGGAGACTTCCGCAGCAGGTCTCCAGGAAATGGTTCCGCCGTAAGATTTTGGATAATCGCTGCAAGTTTTTCCTCTATCATCACACAGTCATATATAGTGCAGACAACATACCGTAACTTTACTACCAATGCACCTTATAAGGATTGAAGGCCTTACAAAAGTAAATGTATAACCAGTAAAACGACGCAAATGACGCGACAGCCCATAGACAAGTAGGAGATGTCACCGTAGGATGGCCAGCCCACCAGCTCGCCCTGGTCTTTCCTAATCCTCCCTAATGCTTGCTTGTTGCAATTGATATTGGTACAACATGCCATATGCCTTGACCCCAATGCCACAGTTGGTCATTACACGACTGCCTCTTATCCCCATTCACCCTCCCTAGAACGGCTCTGGATGCTTGATCAGCTTAACAAAGCACCTCAAGGACAACGTGAAATTAAAAAAACACCCTACTCTCCCACCATAACAACATGGCACCTCACCTCAATTTCCATGCACATGTGTCAGCAAAGGGATTGCAATGAGGCAGCATTGCCAGTGCCAGCACTCTGTCTGCTCCACCTGTCAGCCAACAGCTCGCTCCCCCTCTCTAGCTCTTGTGCTCTCTGCATTCTTGACTGTCTGCCCCACCACCCGCCACATGCACCCATGTTACCATGTGCCTGTGTCACACATTTCCTGCATCCCTGCTGCTACCATGCACCTGTGTCAGCAGCAGAGGAATGTGAGGAGGCAGCACTGCCACTACCAGCAGCCTGTCTGCTCCACATGTCCGCCAGCAGCTGGTACCCCGAGCTCTTATACCCGTCCCTGTGCCCCACCACCCTCGCCTTCCCTCCCGCCGCCGCACCCCTCCCCACCCCACCCTTCCCACTCGCCCCTCCACCACTCGCCCCTCCACCAGCAGCACCAGCACCAGCACTGCTGCCCCGCTCAAGCTCAAGCAGCATGTGGGAGAGGAGGTCAGCGGGGGACTCTACAAGCCGCAGCTCCTCATCGCTGTCGTACCCGCGGTCGAGAGCCAGGCCAGAGGACCCCGCATGGGGCAGATGGAGTAGACGCACCGAGCCCAGGAGGAGACGCACGGATGGCGAGGGGGGCGGGGTGTAGGGCATGGCGGGGAGAGGCGCGATGTCAGTGGATGGAGTGGACTTGCCTCGGCGCGACTCGCTGTGCACCTGATGAAGGGGTCAGGGCAGGGTAAGGAGGGCGCAGGATGAGTGATTTAGCAAAGTGAGGTGAGGTGGAATGAGGTGGGGTTATGAGGGGGGGACATGGCGAGAGGGAGAGGCATGGCATGATGGAGTGGAGACGAATGACCCTCACCTCCCAGTCCAAATCAGCCCTGACTGACCTCGCTGTTGAGTTGCTGCAGCAGGGTGGAGGAGACGGGGTCTGGCGCGTTGGCATCGGGAGCGAAGATGAGGAGAATGCGCCGCAGCAGTGCCACCGTCAGCTCTCCACACACCTGTTGTCATGTGTGCACACACACATGCGCACATGCATTCACAATGATGCACACACATATGCACATAGGCATGCACAAAGGCACACGCACACAGACCCGCATGGTATATTAATTACTGCAAAGTCTGATGCATGTGATGTGAGTGGTGCATGCGATGCATGTGATTCCATACCACACATTCCTCTCACCTCTTTCCTCGCCTCCTGGTCGGCCAACAAATCCTTAGGCAGCAGCAGCACCTGTGCCATCGCCCTCAGCTTTGGAAAGCACTCCCCTGGACCCCCTGTCACTGCCACTGCCGCCCCCGCTGCTGCTGCCGCACTGGGAGGGAAGCGAGGAGAGGCGGGGTGAGCGGCAGCGGAAGAGGCAGAGGAGGAGGAAGAGGAGGAGAAGAAGGAGGGAGATGAGGAAGGGGAGGGGTCGGAGGGGTCAAGGGCTCCAGCCCAGAAGGCAGTGGTGGTGGCGAGGAGGGATGAGGAGAAAGGCGGAGGGGTGGGGAGCGGTGCGGTGGGGTTGGGCGGGTGGGAGGATGCGAGGAGGTAGTCGATTTGAGCGTGCATGTGAGCGTCGAGGTCGTGAAACATGGTGGCCCATGCAGACGTCTGGCAGGAGGTGAGAGGGGTTGGGGCAGGAGAAGAAAGGGGGGAGGAAGGGAGGGTAAAGTGTTATGAGGGGTTTGGTTTGTGGAAGTCGGCAAGGGGCCTGGCGTGTTAGGCAGGGCGAAAGTACAGAGCAGGCGCAAAGAGTGCTGTAATGCATGTGCCATGGGACCACGTCACGTCATGCCATGTGCCATGCGATGGGATGCAATGCAACGCAGTGTGTGAGTCTTTCACGTGAGGGTGTTCCACGAATCAACCTTCTGAGTCAAGCTGAGAGTCAGTCAGCACAAGTCTCTTTCGACTATGGCAAATCACAATTTGGATAAGGCGAAGGGAGGAGAGGGGAGGCGAGGGGAGAGGAGGGACCGACGGCGTATTTGAGGTGCATGCCGTGCGAGTAGGTGAGCTTTCCCGTTGCTGTGAACGGCAGCGCGGCAGGCTCGGTGACAGGGTCGGCAAGAGGTTCGGCGGGCGGTGCGTCAGGGTTGGAGCGCAGGAGTGCGTTGAAGATTGCCGAGTCAAGGCGAAGCAGACAGTGCTCCAAGACCTGGTGGGTGGGGATGGGATAGGGATGGGGGATGGTACGGTGTAGGGAATGGGGGACGGGATGGTGGAATCGAGATTTGAAACATCTCGAATGGAAGAGTGCTGAGTCACGGCGCAGCAGACAGTGCTCAAGGAGCTGTTGGGGGGGATGGGGGATGTGATGGGAATTAAGACACAGCATATTGCTCCTGAGAACACCTGACACCTAACAGCCTCTCCCGCAGGTATAGGCAGCAATTTCTTACTCGGCTCAATATTTTAACGACTCAACATTCACGCAGCAGTTTTTCAATCAACTGAAGGATACAGGCAACAACCCAAGCTATACCTTTCAGACAAGGGCTCACCTGCTTCTCCAGCAGGTACAGGCAGCCACAGCATCGCCCCATGGCACGCTGCGGACACAGGCTGAAGGACGCATCGTGCAGCACCGCTCTCCACCGCTCCACACCCACCAGCTTGCTCCACCATGGAGCCCTCTCAGCGTCTGGTAGGAAGAGGGGTGTGGGATGGGAGGAGATGGGTTGCTGAGAGGAGAAGAGGGTGGAAAGGGAGAACGGGGACGTGAGTTGAGACAGGGGAGTGAGAAGAAAAGGAGAGATTATAGGAGAGGATAAGGAAGCAAGGGGAGGGAAGAAGGGGTTTGCCTTGGTAAGCTGAACTTGCGGAGGCAACTGAGAAACTCATAGAAAGCCTGGCCCCCTCTTACTCACCCCATCCCCCCTCACCTCCACCCTCACCTCCCCTCCTCACCTCCCACTCCGCCTGCCACAGGCGCTGTCGGCTTCTTCTGGCCGCCCAGTCCCAGTGCGCCGCCCACGGTGCTGCCGCCCGGCCACGGCAGGGAGGAGGCGCTGGTGGTGGCGGCAGAGGCGAGGGAGGAGAAGAGAGAGGAGGCGGCCGAGAGGGTGGACGACGAGGAGGAGGACGGAGGCTGGGAAGTAGGGGGACGGCGTAGGGCGGGAAGGAATACCTGGGGGGAGGTAAAGAGGGGGGACGAGGGGAGGAAGAGGGGAGGAGGAAGAGGGGGTGGGAAAGAGGGGAAAGAGGGGGAGGGGGGGGGGGGGGGGGGGGGGGGGGGGGGGGGGGAATGGAAAGGGATTAAGCATGTGACATGATGATGAGAGGCAAGGATGGGAAGGAAGAGCAGCAGCTGCCTGTGATGACCATGCCATCACGCCTCCAGCCTCCTTCCTCCTTCCCTTGCCTCACCTTGGCCCACACCAGCTGCAAGCCCCCCGGTCACGAGCTGCAGGCACAAGCCCCCTGCCTCACCTTGCGCCACATGAGCTGCAGGCACTGCTCATGCTGCCACTCCTCCAGCCGCCACCCTCCCCCTTCCTCTTTCCCTTGCTCACCTTGCCTCACACAAAATGCCCCCCCCCTCCTTCACCCTCACCTTGCGCCACACCAACTGCAGGCACCGCTCATGCTGCCACTCCTCCAGCCGTCTCAGCGCCGCCACCACCGCCCCCGGACTTCCCCACGACTCCCGCCCCCCTCCCCCTCCCACCGCCCCTTCCCCTGCCCCTCCACCTCCCCCCTTCCCTCCTCTCCCACCCCTTTTCCCAGGCCCGGACCCCCCACCAGGTTCGGAATCCGGTTCGGAACCAGAGGAGGTTCGGTCGGAGAGGGGGAAGGAGGAGGAGGAATTGGCAGAGTGGGGCGCATCGGAGGAGGAATTAGCTTCAGTGGGAGCAATGCTGGCAATGGCCTCTCGGAGCATCACAGTATTGGACCACCAAAAGAGCAGCCTAGCAGCGTCATCAGCAGCAGCTTTGGACACCAGAGTCAGTGCAGTCACAGCCACTCTCGCCACGGCTCCCACCCTCTCATCCCCCTCGTGAACACGCACGAATGCATACGCCCTCGCTATCCGCCTCGCGGGAGTGTGGACTTTTCTTACTGATCCCCCGTGTTCCGGCCGCACGGCATACACTGCCACGTCAGCCATTGCCGCGTCTCTCAAATCCCCGGGCAGCCGCCCGAAATTCCGCTCCGCGCTCCTCGCCCGCTCCTCCGCCTCGGCGGCCCGAGCCAGAGCCTCGGCCACCGAAGCAGCAGCTTCGTCGAGGTGCGTTTTCTCCTCAGCCACGCGCTGCTGCTCCCACTCAAACCGCTCCCTCTCCTCCCTCACCCTTCTCTCCGCTGCCTCCGCCGCCCCTTTCATCTGCTCTGCCTCCTCCCTCTCCCGCCGAATCCTCTCCTCTTCCCCTCTGACCAAGCAGAAAACTCCGCCATTTGGCTCTCCAACTCACTGCACCGCTTCTTATCCATCTCAATCTGCGCGTGCTCCTTCTTGAGCCGGGCGCGCTCGTTCTCAGCCCAGACTCTCAGCCGCTGCACCTCGTCTCCCAGGGTCTGCAGGGCGCGCTTCTCCTCCTCTACCAGCTTTTTCTCTGTCCGCACCTTCCGCCACTCAAACTCCAAACTCGCTGCATCCCCCCCTCCCCGCTCCTCCTCCCTCTCTCCTGCCCGCTCCCCCACCACTTTCATGCTCTTGGACTGCCCCAGCACCCCACTCCTCCCCTTCCCCCGCCCCCACCGCCCCCAGCACTACCCGACTCCGACCCACCCCCCCCGCCGGCGCCGCCGCTGCTGCTTCCTGCTCGGGGCGGCGACGCGGTAACCGCATCGAGAGCGCCACCGACGTAGGGCATGGGCTTCTTGAGGTTGACGGGGAAGAGGTCGCCTGGAGGGCTGGAGGGCGACGTGAGACCATACAGCAGCCCATCACCGAACGGACTCGTGCCACCAGCAGCGGGGTCTTTGCCATCTAGCGACCGCTGCCGGAACTTGGGGGATTTTGGTGGGGGAGGAGGTAGCGTTTCAAATTCTTCTACTTCCTCGTCCTCTTGTTCCTCCTCCGCCTGCTGCTGTTCATCCTGCTCCTCCTCCCCCGCCGCGTGCTCATCCCCATACCCGTCCCCGTACCCTTCCTCTGCGTACCCATCTTCATACCCCCTCTGCTGGTCCCCGTACCTGTCTGCATGGCCGTAGCTGCCCTGCCTCTGCTCGAATCCAAACGCCTCGTCATACTCCCCTTCGCCCCCGTTCATGCCCATGCCTCCATTGCCATCGTCATAACCATCACCCTCATCACCCCCATCACCATCTTGCATGTATTCCCCCTCCTCCCCCCCTCCTCTTCTTCCACTTGCACATATTCCCCCTCTGCATCATCATAACCCCCTCGCCCCTGCCTCTTCCCTTGCCCACACGCTTGCCCATGCCCTTGCCCATGCCCATGCCCATATCCCCCTTCCTCCCCATATTCCCCCTCCTCATACCCCCCATCCCCATAGTCCCCTTCTCCCTGCCCATAGCCCTCCCCGCCTTGATATCCGCGCCCATGCCCGTACCCCCCCTGCTCCCCCTCCTGCTCCTCGCCCCAATAAATCTCCCCCTCTCCCTGCTGCTGCTGCTGCTGCCGCCCAGATTTTCTCGTCCCCATCCCTCCATCCAGCGCCATGCCGCCCCCATGCGGCTGCCCCGGCCCGCCCCTCTCGAACGCCAGAGACAGGTCTTCTAATTCCTCCTCCCTCACCTCCTCCTCCTCCTCCTCCCCCCCTCCCATGCCCCTTCCCATGGCATGGTGCCCGTACATATCATACATATCATCCAAACCACCATCGCCATCACCATCATGGCTGTGTTGAGGATCATGCACGTAAATGTCATGCGAATACATGTCATGCATGTCTGCTGCCTCTCCTCCACCCCTGCCCTTCCCCCCACCACCCATGTTACCACCCCCAATGTTACCAAAAGCGTCATTCAAATCCTCAAACGACCCTCCTTCCATCCGAGTCTCCCCTTCCTCCCTTCAAACCCATCATGCTCCTCCTCCTCCTCCCCCTCCTCTAGCCCTTCCCCTTTACCATCCTCCCCCTCTTCCCCCTCCTCCCCTTCCTCCCAGGCTTCCTGCGCCCATGCCTCATCCATTCCCCCGCCCGCGCCCCCACCAACCGGCAGGGACGCCATGCGACCCCCCCCCCGCTTCCCCCACTCCCCCCGCGCCCACCGGCGGCAATCCCCCGCTCCCCGCGCCCTGCGCCCTGGCTCCCCCCGCTGACGCCTGGAACGCGAGGCTGAGGTCCATCTCCCCCCCTGAGAACCGCCTGCGGTCTCTCCCCCTCCCCTTATCACTCCTGCCCGCCCCTCTCCCCTCCCTCGCGCTCCCCGGCGCGCCCTTCAAAGTCCTACTCCCCTCTCCCGCTCGCTTTGGCGAACCACTTGCCGAACCTGCCGCTGAACCTGCCGCCGAGCCTGCTGCCGAACCTGGCGTGGAGCTCCCTTGGTCCTCGTATCCTCCCGCATGGCCTCTCCGTGGTCCACTCCCCCGTCTGACCGTCTCCGTATCGCTGCTCTGGTTCTCATGCCCCCCTGACGACGCTCCACTGTCCTTCCGCGTATGCTCCCTCCCTGAGCCCTTCCCCCCGTGCCCCCCATGCGCGCCGTGCGCCCCCCCTGCGCGTATGTGTTCTGAATCACTCTCCCCATGGTCGGAGAGCGGGCCAAGACGGCTACCCCCGCCGCCAGTGACGGAACCAGCCGCGTCCGAGTAGCAAGTCTCGTCCCCCGACGATCCCGCCGTGTCCTCCGCGTCTTCTAGCGGCTCCAGCTTCGTCGGGTAGAACCGCGGCAGCGCGCCCGCGCTCCCCGTGCCATAAACCCCCGCGCCAGCCTCCTCCGCGGCGGCTTCCTTGCTCAGCTTCTTCCCCACACACTCCACCGTCAGGTGCAGCTCGGGGCGCCCCAGCGCTGCGCCTAGGGATTTAGAGACTTGCACGGGGAGCGCGTGGGGGAGCACGCCGGCGCAGTCCGCGAAGGCGGAGAGGTCGAGCGACGCCTTCCCCAGCGCTGTTGGTTTGGGCTGCGCCGAGTCGTCCGCCTGCGCCTCGTGGATCGAAAACGCCGCGGTCTTGCGCTGGTACGGCGCGCCGGGACCGCCGCGCTCGCGGTACAGCGTGGCGGGGACCTGCGGAGTTGCGCGCGCGAGGGAGGGGAGGCGGGGAGAGGGTGGGACGGAGGGAGAGGAGGAGAGATGAATGGTAGTTGCACTCTTAGGCTAGGATCAGCAAGGCAGCATAGTCAAAATGCGGGCGTCGCGAGGCACTCACGCGGAACGTCTGGTCGATGACCACTTTAAACGCGTTCTCGTCCGCGCCGCCCTCATCTCGCTGCGCGCGCACCGGCTTGGAAAATCCCGTGCGCTTGTCCCCGCGCTGCCACTGGATGATCGCCGGCGCGCCCATGCGCAGCCACGGGCGCAACTGTGGGGGAAAAGAGTGGGGAGGGGGGGTTGGTTGGAGGGGGGGAAGGGGGAGTTTGCGCGGAAGGGAAGGCGGAGCGATGGTGAGTCGGCGTAAAGACGAGGAAATGTGAGCCTTTACGCGGGGAGGACGGCAATGCAGTCAGTGAGTCACCTCGATAAGATGCACTTTAAAGTCGAAACGGATCGCCACTAGTGAGGATGCGGACTGCTTCCCGGACCGCTTCTTCATGGCTTATGTCGTTAAGATTATTTAAGTTAATATATAATTGAATTATCCTAAGTCGACTAGGGCCGCATGGCGTGTGGCTGTAATATACTAGTTAACGACTGCAACTTAGGAAAGAAAGTCCCGCATTGCCCGAACTAACAAGCCGTCTGACCAGGAGCGTCGGCGGTCGGACGCTGAACAATAATGTATACGGACAATAATAAATTAAGGCGATCGGCAATGCTGACGCTGTAGCCTCCAAACATATAGCATTGATGAGCTGGAGCCTCGCTTTCGGGTTGTTACTGTCTCGAGAATGCCGAGTGATAGCAAAGTACCAATCAATCACCAGCTAGCTACAAGTAACGTCTAGCCACCATCACGAGACGACGCGAGCCTAATCACAAAACAACTACAGAGGTAGCTACCAAGTTAACAACCCTGTACCGGAGCTGAATTGGAATACTACAGCGTTCCTGGCTGAGCATCTTGCGACTAAGGTAAGTAGACATAGAGGACAAAGAACATGTAACAACGCTGCGAGCCAAAGCATAGGCGCGTGTGTGCATGGGTGCTGAACGAAATGGTAACTTCTAGGTGTGGCTGTATGTATGGTTGGATTGGCTTGGGACCAATCTGTTTGGTGATGTACATTCTTGGTTTGGATTCGGTTTGGTTCGGAGGCGCTTGGGTTCTTTCCCAACAACCGCTCCGAGATGATTGGATGGTACGGCAACAGGGAACGGAAATCGAGGTGGGCTGTGGGAAGTGATGGCGCGAGGCGAGGTACGGCAATCGGATTGTACCGATGTCGCGTACGAGCTGTTCTGGATTTTGGTAAAGAGCAAATTGCATCTTATACTCATCTTTTTCATCCTGTGTGAGAAGAGCGAGTTGTAATGGTGTAAGTGTAAATGTTGGAGTTTTGGAGTTACAAGAATGGGAGGAGCAATGTGCTCGAAACAACCACCAGAATATATGTATTATAATTCCACACCCGGCGCCAACCATTTCCGAACCACAGCAAGGCTCAGCTTGCTTCCCCTACTGACTCGTTCTGCCCTGGTCGGAGACATGGGGACCAGGGTTACCATACATACATGCCACTTATATATTACTTGAAGAATGTTTTATATTATTTCCACTTCCATGGGTGTACTCCATGCATCAGAAGGAGGAGAAGCGAACCCTGCCCCACCACCTGTCAACTGAGACCCACTCGAGTTCTCCGGGGCGACCTGAAGAAGCCGAAGAATGCCGCCCGCCACAACATCGGGCTGCTGGTGCACGGACCTGGCAGGGAGGGTATCGGCTGTAGCGCAGGGCATGTGGCGCAGCATGTATTCTGCTACAGCCGGGGGAGTGGCGGGGTCCCCTCTAGGAAGAGCATGTGAACTGGTACCTCTACCTGCGAGGATGAGGAGGAGGGATGGGGAGGGGAGATGAGTGGGAGAGGATGCATGTGTGTATGGGGTCGCCCTCTAGGAAGAGCATGTGCATTGGTAACTCTACCGGGGGGGTGGAGAGGAGGATGGATGGGATGGGGGGAGGGGGGGTTGAGTCAACTCAAAAGTCAGCCCTCTAGGAAAAGCACCGGAGGGGGTGGAAGGGAGGATGGATGGGGAAGGGGAGGGTGGAGATTTAGGGCAGACAACGGCAGCAACATAGTTCTTTCCCCTGCTCACACGCACCTTGGTCAACAACAGGATCCTCTTATCACCCCTCTTTCTTCGCATCACACCCCTTACACCCACATTACCTGCGGCAGCACTTCACGCAGGTCGCAGGCAAAGGTGGACTTGAGGCACGAGAAGGCAACGTCGGGGCGCAGCGAGAAGAGTGGCCGCGTCACCTCCCTCACATGCTGCGCCTTTACGTCGTCCGCGTTCAACACAGGCGCACACCCCTTGGTCCACAGCTGGGGGTCGAAGGGAGTTGTGAGAGAGATATGGAGGGGTGAAGAGGAGTGAAAAGGTGCAAAATGGCCGTGTCACCTCCCTCACATGTGCTCCCTTCACATCGTCCGCGTTCAGTACCGGTGAACACCACTTTGTCCACAACTGAAGGGAGGGGGGAGGAGGGGGGGAGTAGAGAGAGAGAGAGAGAGAGAGAGAGAGAGAGAGAGAGAGAGAGAGAGAGAGAGAGAGAGAGAGAACCACTTGATGCGGTGTGAAAAAGGGGGGGGGAGAATCAGCACTCACAATGCTTTGAGGGATGAGTGCGCAAAGATAGCGGCTGAAGCGGGATTCACGGTGCACAAGGAGACAACGGCATACTCACCGGTCGAAAACCTCAAAGCGGATATCTCTATCCGCCATCCCGACACCGGCGCAGTGTGGATATGTGACATCACAGTCACGGACCCCGTCTCCCATCAGGATGAGTACGCTCGCAAGGCACCCGGGAGGGTGGCCAGGATGCAAGCGGATAAGAAGGAGACCAAGTATGCCGGAAGGAGCCCTTGGGTGGGCTTCTACGCCATGGCCGTGGAAACCTACGGGTACCCCTCAGCTGGAGTCCTCGATTTCCTTCGCAGCTGCGCGGAGCTGGCGGCTAAGCGGCGGTTCAACGCCCCACCGAAGTCGAGGGAGGCGGCGAAACTACTCACCGAGTACCGCCAGCGCTGGAGCGTGACCCTGCAGAGAGCCCAAGCCAACGCCCTCAGGGACAAGACCCACGAGGCACTTACCGCGGATGTGCTTGGCCTGCAGGGCCCGTTCACTCCACTGAGCGAGGACCAGCTATACCAGTTGGTAGAAGACCCCTCCGGCCACTAGGGCCGGAAAGGGGGGGGAGGCGGAGGTAGAGGTGACGGGATAGGGGACTGATATTGTCGCTCTGCTGCATGTGTTTGCTGAAGTACCTTGTTTGTACCGCGATGATATTAATACGAAGGACCGTTCGAGAGAGAGAGAGAGAGAGAGAGAGAGAGAGAGAGAGAGAGAGAGAGAGAGAGAGAGAGAGAGAGAGAGAGAGAGAGAGAGAGAGAGAGAGAGAGAGAGAGAGAGCAATGAGAGACCTGAGGAAGCAACGCGTTCAGCACCGGTGCACACCTCTTTGTCGACAATTGAGAGTGGGGGTGGAAGTGGTGAAAAAGGGAAAGAGGGGGTGTTGGAGGAAGCAAGGGGACGCCTGAGCAGTAACAGGCAGGCGCCACCAGTAACACACCTAGGCAGGCGCCACCAGTAACACGCCTAGGCAGGCGCCACCAGTAACACGCCTAGGCAGGCGCCACCAGTAACTCGGACGGAGGTGAGGGCAGAAGCACGGGCAGGCCAGTGACAGTGCAACTCAAGAACAACACCTCTTCCTTTCAGCACTCACACCACTCTACTGGCAGCACCTACCCGGAAGTTTCCCTGCATGATGCCAAAGACCTTGTCCAGGTCAGCGAGACTGAAGGTGCTGTTGTAGTCGGGCGGGGCCTCCAGCAGCCTGCCAAGGGTGGTGAGGGGTGCAGTGCGGTGATGCGTGGTGAGGGGAGTTAAGGCGTCGGAGTGAGCGAGGTCAGCGAGGCCGAAGGTGCTGTTGTAGTCGGGCAGGGCCTCCAGCAGCCTGCCATGCCATGCACAGGGGTGATGGGTGGTGAGGGCTGCAGTGCGGTGATGGGTGGTACGGGAGGGAGTGGGGGTGAGGGGAGTTTCCCCAGCCTCCAGCAGCCTGAAATGGGCACGATGCCGAGGCTGATGCTGATGCTGATGCAAATTGCTGATGCGCTGATGCTGATGCGCTGATGCTGATGCTGATGCTGATGTGCTGATGCTGATGCTGATGCTGATGCTGATGTGCTGATGCTGATGCTGATCCTGATGCTGATGCTGATGCGCTGATGCTGATGCGCTGATGCTGATGCGCTGATGCTGATGCGCTGATGCTGATGCTGATGCTGATGCGCTGATGCTGATGCGCTGATGCTGATGCTGATGCTGATGCTGATGTGCTGATGCTGATGCTGATGCTGATACTGATGCTGATGCTGATGCGCTGATGCGCTGATGCTGATGCGCTGATGCTGATGCGCTGATGCTGATGCGCTGATGCTGATGTGCTGATGCTGATGCTGATGCTGATGTGCTGATGCTGATGCTGATGCTGATGCTGATGCTGATGCTGATGCGCTGATGCTGATGCTGATGCTGATGCTGATGCGCTGATGCTGATGCGCTGATGCTGATGCGCTGATGCTGATGCTGATGCTGATGTGCTGATGCTGATGCTGATGCTGATGCTGATGCTGATGCGCTGATGCTGATGCGCTGATGCTGATGCGCTGATGCTGATGCTGATGCTGATGCTGATGCTGATGCTGATGTGCTGATGCTGATGCTGATGCTGATGCTGATGTGCTGATGCTGATGCTGATGCTGATGCTGATGCTGATGCTGATGCTGATGCTGATGCGCTGATGCTGATGCGCTGATGCTGATGCTGATGCTGATGCTGATGTGCTGATGCTGATGCTGATGCTGACGCTGATGCTGATGCTGATGCTGCTGATGCTGATGCTGATGCTGATGCGCTGATGCTGATGCGCTGATGCTGATGCGCTGATGCTGATGCTGATGTTGATGCTGATGCTGATGCTGATGCTGATGCGCTGATGCTGATGCGCTGATGCTGATGCTGATGCGCTGATGCTGATGCGCTGATGCTGATGCGCTGATGCTGATGCTGATGCTGATGCTGATGCTGATGCTGATGCTGCTGCTGATGCTGATGCTGCTGATGCTGATGCTGATGCTGCTGATGCTGATGCTGCTGATGCTGATGCTGATGCTGGTGCTGATGCTGATGCTGATGCTGATGCTGATGCTGATGCTTATGCTGATGCTGATGCTGATGCTGATGCTGATGCGCTGATGCTGATGCTGATGCGCTGATGCTGATGCTGATGCTGATGCTGATGCACTGATGCTGATGCTGATGCTGATGCTGATGGGTACAAGCAAGCCACGATGGCCCACCTGGGCGAGGAGGCGAGCAGCACGATGCGTTTGAAGAGCTTGGGTCGCTCGATGGCTGCCAGCAGCGCGATCATGCCGCTCTGCCTGTGCCCCACCAGCGTGCACTGCTGCCCCCAGTCGCCCTGTGCTCACACGCACGGACAGACACGGAGACAAGCACACGGAGAGACGGAGGGGGTGAGGGAGGAGTGAAGGATAAGAGAGGGAAGAGAGGGGAGCAGCGGCTGCACAAACACCAAACCAAACCTACTCTAGGTGTCATACTCTAATCACTTGCTGCCACGTATTGAACCATGGCCTCTAAATGGGGTTCGATTGAAGGATAAGAGAGGGACAAGAGGGAAGTAGCGGCTGTAACAACTCGAACAGTTTCAACAGCTGTAGCACCTGTAGCACGCACCTCAACGCCCATCTCTGTGAGCAGCTGTAGCAGGTCCTCTGCGAAGCCGTGCAACGTGCTGTAGCGCTGAAAGTCAAACGCGTCGCTGTCTGACCTGCATGGGGAGGAAAGGGGGAGTCGTGGGGTGGGGAGGGTGGGGGGGACATGAGACGTGGGGAGGGAGGCGGGAGGGTGTAGGAAGGAGGAAGGGAGCCATGCATCGTGCTGTAGCACTGAAAGTAGTGGCTGTAGCACTGAAAGTAGTGGCTGTAGCGCTGAAATTCACACGCATGGCTGTCTGACCTGCACCAGTAGTGGAGGGGCGGGCACATGGGGACCGTGGGGGGACACGAGATAAAGGGGAGGGAGGGCGGGGGGCAAGAGTAAGGAATCGAGCCGTGCAGTGTGCTGAAAGTCACACTCATGGCTGTCTGACCTGCACCGGGGGGAGAGAAGGGCGCATGGGGGAATGGAGGGAAGATATGGGGCGGGTCGGAGCACATGGGGCGAGTCGGAGCACATGGGGCGAGTCGAGGAATGTGGGGAGGGTGGGGGAACATGGAGGGATGGGGTGAAGACTGATAGGCAGCGAGAGAGACTAGAAGGGGCAGGGGCGAGGAGAGAGGGGAGAGGAGAGAGGGCCGAAAGGGCATGAGGGGCAGGGCCAGCAGAGGGAGAGGATGAAGGGTGGACGGGGAGAGAAAGAGAGGGGGCAGAGGTACATACCCTACAGCACCGGTGAGGTCGTAGAGTACAATGCGGTACAGAGCGGTGTCAAACGATTCCAGCACATGCGTCCACATCTGAAGGTAGGGGCGGGTAACGCGGAGGCCCGAAGGGAGATGGTGAACGCGCATGAACGCGTGAACATGGGATTGTGGCAATGTGGGGCGCACGTGTCAAGGCAGCAGAAAGCATGTGCATCGGGGTGACTTTTGAGTCGACTCAAAACGAGGTGACTTTTGAGTCGACTCAAAACGAGGTGACTTTTGAGTCGACTCAAAACGAGGTGACTTTTGAGTCGACTCAAAAGTCACGCGTGTCAAGGCAGCAGAAAGCACGTGCATCGGCGCGGGCATGCATGTGAAAGCACGCACGGACTGGTTGAAGAGAAGCCATGGGAGAGCGTGAGCAGCTTTGAGCCCGACCCTACGATGTGCAGCTTGGCACGGGAGAACATGTGGCATGCACGTCAAAGCAGGCGTGCGCAGGTGATGGCAGGCACGTGCATGTGATGGCAGGCACGTGCATGTGATGGCAGGCACGTGCATGTGATGGCAGGCACGTGCATGTGATGGCAGGCACGTGCATGTGATGGCAGGCACGTGCATGTGATGGCAGGCACGTGCATGTGATGGCAGCACGCACGGACTGGTTGAAGCCGAAGCCATGGGAGAGCACGAGCAGCTCGGGCCCCGCCCCCACAATGCGCACGTTGTGCCTCTCCTGCGCCGTCCGCGCCGCCCTCAGCTTCGCCGCCTGCGCCGCCCTGCACGCGTGCAACAGGACAAGTTGTCATTGTTATGCATTCACCATGCGACAACACGGCGATGAGTCGTGAGGTCACCACGCGAAGGGATGCTGCCGCATCATGCAAAGCAAAGCACACGTATTGCCCCTCCCTTCCCTTCTCACCCTCCCTAGTACCTCTGAACAACGGATCACACGGCTGCTAAGCGCATCACTTACCTAAGCGCCACGCTGCTCCCGTGCCCCGAGCCGCCACCGGATATGGCGCCTGCATGCATGGACGAGCTGCTCATGCCCACCACCACGCCGCCACTCATCGAGTCGCCCCCACCCCCGCCGCCGCCGCCGCCGCTGCTCCCGTACCCGCTGCTTCCCCCTCCCCCGCCGACGATCCCCCCGCCGCTCAGCACCCCCGCGCCGTGCATGCTCCCCGCCATGCGCGCGTACAGCGGCGGGTTCGTCGGCGTGCCGGCCGCCGCCGTGCCGCCGGCCGTCGCGGACCGACAGCTGTTGCCGCCGCGCGACGCCAAGCTCTGCCGCGACCCGTCTCGCGACTCGTCCCCGTCGAATCCGCGCGGTCCGATCGGAACGGCCTGGCCTGCGATGTGCGTGGGCATCACCACTGACCGCGCCTCGCCGGGATGGTGCCGCGCACCCGCCGCTGTGCCGCCCCCGCCGCCGGAGGCGCTGCGCGGGGGCGTAGGGATGGCGGTGCGGCCCGTGATTACGGACAAATCGAGCGGCTCGTTTACTTGCCACTCGGAGCTGTCGGGGGGCGATCCGGGAAGGAACCCCGACGCACCCTCCTCGCTCCGCCGTCCCGTTCGATCATCCGCGCCGGGCGGCAGCTTGTCCGCGCAGATGGCGGAAGGCTGCGCCCACGCATGCTTCTGCAACAGCGGGATTTGCGCGGGCGACTCGACATACCGCTGTACTCCTCCGCTGGATTTTCTCTCGAGCGGCGCCGGCGGCGGCGGAACTACATCTGATACTAGCTTGTGGCGCGCCGCCAATTCGAGCGCGCCGTTTCTACGACTTCCGCCGGCGGCGCGCGCGTCGTCGAAGAAGCTGTCGCCGCGGGTGACGCCTAGGGGAGAGAGGGGCGGCTTGCCCACGCACCCCCCCATTAGAAGCGCGAGAAAAGGCCCGGTTTCTGTACGTGAATGCGATTAGTATATCGAGGGCGATTAGAGAAACCGGCTTTGCCGTACCGCGTGACTTCACTCGGCGGGCCGCGAAGGAACCGTGAAATGGTAACGGGAAACCAGCTCTGGAGCAATCAAAGGCTAGGACAACTTGTGCGCTTTGAAAGCGAGCAGACGTGAGCACTCGAAACAGCAGCTCGGCAGTGAACAACGATTCGCGACGCGCAATTGTTTGAATCCCGACAACTTCTTTGGGCAGATAGAAAGTTGATAGTTAACGCGGTGGCGTTGGCCATTGAACATCATCCAGCCAGACACACGACAATCCAATGCTAGCGAGACTGCGGAGACGTGGTTCTAGTACAATAACGCTCCTGTTATTTTGCTGGCTCCCCGCGTTATGCGGGCGTACAATAATCGAACGCGCTGAAGGATCTGGTTCTGTAAAGGTACGACGCGGGGTCAGTTCATGGAGATGAGATCATCCCACGGCCAGAGCGTGACAGTTTGCAGGTGGGCGTAAAGTGTGCGGTTCTTTTTGGCGCGGAGCGCAAAACCCAGAACAACCAATCATAGAATGACAGGCAGATCCAGTGAGGCTACGACTGGCAATAAAAGTTATAGCAAATAAGCTTTTGTCCAACCACCGGGCTGCTCAGAGGACCTTTTCTGAACGAAAGTGCCAACTTGGCAGTCATCATTGTTCTTTGCCAGCACTGTTCACCCTGGTGAACTGAGAGTTGAGCTGGTTGAGGCGCTCGGCGAGTCTTGGCCATGAGATAGTCACCAATCACAGCAAAAACTGCCCTGGCAGCTTTCAAATTTCGGCTAGCGTGGCAGGTCTGCTGGGCTGCTTCGTTACTGTACAGCTCATTCTGTGCGGCTCATTTTGTTGAGTCACTGTTCAAAACGGTGAATATTGAAAACCACTTTACACCATGACGGTTGAATTGTACAATAAACGAATTGAGGCGTACGCGCTGGACTTGTCCTTGGTGTCGGGAGGTACATGTATGTAGCCCTACATGATGAGAAGTCCAGATTTTTATACGGATCGCGAAACGGAAGAAACTGGCCCAAAGCATTCGTGTTTCTGAAATAGTTGCTGTACTATGGTTTTCATCCCGCGCTATTCATCCTTTCTGAAGTGACTGTATGGACAATGTTATTCATCCCTCGCTAAAATGCTGCAAGTCCTCTCCTCATTCAGTACATGACGGACCGGCGAAGACCGGGAAACCAGAATTGGTCAGCTTTTTGTGCAAGAAACTGTCGCCAAATTCTCCTGCAGCTTCTTTTGCTCCCCTCCACCAATCAGCGCCCATAAGTGCACGTGTATGCCTTGCAAGCCACGTTAGCTCCCCGCCTGCGAAAAAATCCCGTCTGCCAAACTGGTCGGATGATGGCGGGTTTGGGCTCGGGAGGGAAGGAATTGGAAGTGGGGGAAGGAATAGGAAGTGGGGGAAGGAAATTGTTGCAGGAGCAGGTACTGTACAGTGTCACCCTTCATCCTCCTCCGCTCTTCCGCTCTTCTTCTCTTCCGCTCTCCTTCGTTTTCGCTCCTCCGCTTTTTCACCTTTCTCGCGCCTCCGCTTTCCCGTGTCCGATCACATTCCCGGCAACCTTCCCCCAAGGCCCCGCGTGGCCGAACAGCACCTCACCCCCACCCCCACCCGCACCCCACTCCACCTCCCCGCGAAACCCTACCGCCCCACTATGGCTCCCTCTCTCAGCCGTCCCTCCTGGTGCTGCAGCTCCTGTGATGCTCTTCACATCAACCTTCCTAACCGTTTCATTTCCCAGTCCTAATTTCAGCCATACCTTCAGAAGCTGCTCCATAGCCGTTTCTCTAGGGAGTTCGTCTTCACTGCATAGCAGTAACCTGACTTCCACATTTAACTTTTCCGTTACCGGTTCTGCATGCTTTAGGCCGAACTGCTGTGAATTGCGGGTAGAGATTTGCGTGGGGAGGAGTAGTTTGCTTGGGGAGATCCTTCAGCTTATCTCGCAGCCATGTCGATCGCTAACTCCCTTATCAAGCCCCCCACCATCAATGGGTCCGGCGCTGTCGTTTCGCGGGTCTCTGCCTTTGAGGATTTCCTGCCTAATGATTTCATTCAGATGTACATAGGCTCATCTTCAAGTCAGGTTCCTCGCCGACTTTTGGCTGCCGATGGCATTTCATCCGTCAATCTTAAGCTGAAGGGTCTTAACCGCGGCTTTTATGCCAAGCATCAGCGCATAGTGGCAGGACCTTGTGCCTCGGAAGAGTCTGTGCACGATGGTCTGGCCTCCTCGCAACCCCAGACGATGCAATTTGTGCTCGGAATGTCAGATCTTCTCTTCGTCTCGGTCGCAACGTTCTCTGGAAAGGTATGTGTTCTTCGTGATCATCAAATTGCGACGTAGTTTCCGCATATCCGCTCCTTCTCTTCCGCTTTACAATTCGTTTGCCGGTTTTTGTTGTAAGTTGATGTTCCACAAACATCGCTTGTTCCACAAACATCGCCTGTTCAAGTATCAAATAGCCTTACCAATTTCCTTACTTACTCCTTTCTCATTCTTTTTTGTTGTATTTTCAGGAGTACCTGTTCTCTGTGGAGCGGGCTGCTAACCATCGGGTTCGTGACATCAAGAAGCGGATATGCGAGCGTGAGCTTCCTTCGAGTTCTGACGACGTAGAGCTTGTCCTTGCCGGCACGCCTCTGGAAGACCACTGTCTCATCAACGACTTGGACAAACACCGGGATTTCGGAGCCGTGGGGTCCTGCCATTTGCATCTTCTCGTGCGGAAGAATGCTCGTGTGCATGCGAAGTCCGGTCCGGGCCGGACAATGGAGCTTTCTGTTAACGCTACGGAGATTGCCTCGTTGCCGTCGATACAGGAGGTTGGCGACGAAGAATGCCCTGCAGCTGTTCCTCTGGCCCTTCCTTGCTCAAGAACCACATCGAGTGAAACAATCCAGCCGACAATGCTTGGAAATCATCCTTCTCTGAAAGGGGAAGGCTTCCGGGCGATGATGAGGGATGTGGGTACCGGCCTTCTTGAAGGCCACGTTCCGCACCTGACTTCTGACGGCTCGGGTGGTACTTACCTCATGTCTGACGCGTCGGGGGCGTCGACAGTAGCTGTATTTAAACCCATGGATGAGGAGCCTCTCGCTGTAAATTGCCCCCGCGGGATGGCTCCGAGTCTTGATGGGGAAGGGTTGAAGCGTGGCACACGAGTGGGAGAAGGTGCTTTCCGCGAAGTCGCAGCTTACCTACTGGATCATCCACTGAACGAAGGAGACAGTGAGGGCTACGCAAGCGTTCCTCCGACCACGCTTGTCGGCTGCTCCGCCAGCTTTTTCCCTCGCTCTGGCTCTCCCAAGACTCCGCTGGATGACCTGGAAGGGAAGAAGGTCGGTTCGCTTCAGAAGTTCGTCCAATCGTTCAGCAACTGCGAGGACATGGGACCCTCGCGCTTCCCTGCATCGGAGGTTCACAAGATCGCGGTTTTGGACATGAGGCTTGCCAACACGGACCGGAATGGTGCCAACATTCTTGTACAGAGGGTCGACGGTCCGAATGGGGTCAAGCTTATTCCGATTGATCATGGTTACTGCATTCCTGATAAGGTCAGCATTCAATTCTGTGCCCTTGCTGCCTTTCGTCCAAGTTTGCTGCCCGTTTGGTACCTCTCTGCCGTCCCCTCGTTTTCCCTTAGGCACTTCTCTGCCATCCCCTCGCTTTCCCTTAGGCACCTCTCTGCCGTCCCCTCGTTTTCCCTTAGGCACCTCTCTGCCATCCCCTCGCTTTTCCTTCGGCATCTCTCTGCCATCCCCTCGCTTTTCCTTCGGCATCTCTCTGCCATCCCCTCGCTTTCCCTTTGGTACATTCGCCATCCCCTCGCTTTCCCTTTGGTACATCTCTGCCATCCCCTCGCTTTCCCGTCGCTCACATGCATTCTTCAGTGTCGTCCTTTTTTTTTCCTCGAAATTTGCCACTAATTCTGTTGTTTCGTTTTTTGTGTTTGCAGTTTGAGGATTGCACGTTTGAGTGGCTGTATTGGCCCCAATCCAGGGTTCCCTTTGCTGAGGAGTCCCTGGAGTACATAGCTAAGCTCGATGCCAACAAGGATATTCAGATTCTGAAGGAGAGCGGCTGGTCACTCAACCCAGCATGCGTCAAGGTTCTTCAAGCTGCTACCATGCTTCTCAAGAAGGGTGCATTTGCAGGCAAGACTCCTTTTGAGATTGGGTCCATGATGGTTAGGGATGACCTGGATGTCCCTTCTCTGATTGAATCTCTGGTGGAGGAAGCTGAGTTACAGGCTCAGAGGGTTGGAAACCAGTCCTTTGAGGTGTGCTTTGAGGCAGCACTAGATCAGCTCCTGCTTTAAGCAGTCAGGGAGTTGTGAAGCTGTGAATTATCATGTTGTGTTTTGATGTCATTCGGTGGTATCTTCTGAGGTCCAAACCTCTTCATGTGCACCCAACCAGGGCCTCAGATTCGTTTTGCCCAACCCTTGCGTTCAATAAACTCAAACAGAAAGTGCGGTCACTGAAACAGTTCGTTTCTTTGGTTTTAAAAAGCGCGGCAATCGGTTTGGCTTGCGGTTCGGTGTTGGGCAGAAATGTCGGTGTGGGATGTTCTACACCCTGTTCTCGATAATTTCACGGCCCCAAATTCCGAACCGCGATTTCCTTTGCCCGAGAGGGTGTGAAATTAAGGGGGCAAATATTGTCCCTGATAATTTCACCATCGAGGCGCGGTACAGCTGTGCTGGCAGGGAATGAAACATGACTTGAATAGACCCAGAGAGTGTTGACGATCTTGAAAAATCTTTGCATCCAATGAAAAACAGTCACGTCAGGATTGCGTTTATCGTAACCCTGACCACAAATTCGAATCTAATTTTGAGCTCCTAAAATTGAGGAGTGATTCACAATCAGGTTTAATTTCGACACATGCGCGACTTTCCCAAAGTAACACGTGTTTATAGCAAATCCAGTCCAGTCGTTATAACTTCAAGAGTTGCACCAAATATGAAACCGTCTTGTTTCACACTTTTGAACGCGACCCGAACAGACCCGAGCTTCCCCACTTCTCTGGCTTGCTGACAGTATATAAAGCCGATCATTTCTGCACATCTCGCTTCAATGATCCCTCACGGTTCGCCAGCTAGGCAGCCCAAAGCCTTTGCTGGTGATCCCGAGTCGGGGCGTGAAATTAAGGGGTGTGAAATAATCGAGAACAAGGTGCATCGTCATGGACCATAGCTTCTGCGCTAGAAGAAGTCGAGGCGATGGGCAAAACCTCTGCTTAGCCTCGCCAAAATTGGCGTAGTGGCGGGCAGCTCGAATTATAGTCGTCAGTCCCTAGGGGAAATCGTGCTGCTGGGATTAGCAGTGATGTCAGTTTCGGTCAGCACACGGAAAGAGGAAGAAGAAAGATGGGCTGTGGTTGGTGGGCTTGATTCTGCCCCGCCGAACCACCGACAAACCAATTGCTTCCCCGAAACCAAACACGGAGGCTCGGGCAGAGGGGCAGAGGGGCTCACCGCGTATCAGCCTCACTGGACTGGACTAGTGCTGGATTTTAGGGTTGCTCATCCATAATTGTGGCGATTAATTCGTGCACTGATGACGGTTGCCAAAATAAACCTAAATGCGTTTTCATCAGCCTTATGCATTGTGCTAGGCGCTTTCCAGCGTCTAGCTTTCTGAACTTAGCTTACTGCAACTGCAGGTTGTCCCTTCGACTTTCGCGTTTTCAGCCGTTTCGCGGTTCGAATTCCTGACGGCCTGCTATATTAGCAAGTTCGTGGCGTCAAGTCGCGCCGTGTACTCTCTCGTTGATGGCGCATAGATTTGACCATAGCGGTCTTATCGTCTTCCTGACCGCTGTTTACGTTTGCTGTAAGTAGCACTCGTTCTCCTACCCTGGCGAATCCGATTGAGTTCGATCTCAACGAGTCGTGCTTGAGAATCGTTCCGAAACCGGCGGATATACGACACTGCGCCTGGCACGCCTCTCACGTTTCCGCGAGCTGTCTTGTGTGTGCAGCGTTGCTATCCTCTCTGTCCCTTGCCAACAGCGCCGACTACGCCAACCAAGGTGAGCATAACAGCCGCCGTGCGCTTCGCGGCGTCGGTCCTCGATTTTTCCCATGCGTGCGATTGACTCTAAACTGAAATCTGCGGATCGCTCTCGAATGCGTTCACCTCATTGGTTGAGTGCATGTGGTATACCACCCGCCGTTCACCTTTTCCCTCCGTCTTCCCTGTCCCATCCCGCCGCACCTTCGTCCCGCCTCCCCGCCTGCGCGCCTCACCGCCTCCCCCTCCCCGTACATTTCCCCCCTAGACTCCGTACCCCCCACCGACACGTGGAAGGAATCCAAGCCGTTGCTGCCGCTCTCGGGGCAAGCGCGCAACGCGACCGTCCGATCCGGCCTCACCGCCTTCTTCCGCGTCCCCAGCACGTGTGACGCCGCAAGCGGCGCCGCAGGAGGCGGAGAAGGGCGAGCAGCAGGGGCAGGGGGAGGGTGGAACACAGGAGGGGTAGGCGGGAGCGGCGGGGACGCGCGGTGGTATGTGAATGTGGAGATATGGGGGCTGTTCGCGCCGGGAAACGACACGTCCGTGTTCTACCTGCCTATGCTCATGCTCAACAGCGCTGGCGAAGTGCCCACCGTGCTGGTTACCAACACGCTGCAATATCGCCTGGACGACCACACGAGCATAGACTACCCAAGTAAGAGAGCACAGTGCTTTGCTCGATGCCAGCAATCCGGTCCACTGCAAACCCTAACACCTCTTCTCCCACCTCTTTGCCTGCCGCTTTGCCCCGCTTCAGTGCCGTCCGAGCCCGTCCCTGTCTCCGTTCTCCTCTCGCTTCTCTCCTCTCGCTTCTCTCCTCTCGCTTCTCTCCTCTCGCTTCTCTCCTCTCGCTTCTCTCCTCTCGCTTCTCTCCTCTCGCTTCTCTCCTCCCGCTTCTCTCCTTCCGCCCCGTCCCTCCGGCATTTTTCAACCCGCTTTTCCCCTCCCGCGTTTCCCGTCCTTTCCCTCCCGCCTTTTCCCTCCCGCCTTCTCCCCCCCCCAACTCCCCCCCCCCCCGCCCCCCTCCACTTTTCCCCGGAGCAGACTTTAGGTCGGGGCAGCCGTACCAGATAGTGAGCGTGCTACAGGACGACCTCGTTAAGGACGGCTCCGTTAACGCGACGGAGCTGATAGTGGGCATATTCAGCGACTCATACATCGCAGAGGGGCAGGACCTCGGTTTCTCCATCCGCGCCTTCTGCTCACGTGAGTGCTGACCTGCAACGTGCCTGCTGCTTGGCTGCGCCATAGCTTTACTTGCACCTTTTGCTGCAGTGAGCGAGCCGGCAACGAGGTGACTTTTGAGTCGACTCAAAAGTGAGCGAGCTGGCAACGTTTCCTTCCCATCCGCCATGCAGACTTCCCCTTTCGCACTTTTCCGCTTCTCCACGCCCATATGTCATTCCCTCCAGACGGTTGTGCTTCTCCTGCTCGTCTGCCCAATCCCCTGTATGTTTTCCACTCCCAATTTTTTTTTTTTTTCCCTGCGTTTCCAACTCAAAGTGTTTCCTCCCTTCTCACCCTTCCCCGTTCCATCCATCCGCACTTTGTCCGCGCGCAGAGGGCAGGGGGTGCCCGGTCAACTGCAGTGGGCGGGGCGTGTGCGGGCAGGGGGGAGTGTGCCAGTGCCCCAAGGGATGGGGCGGCACTGCTTGTGCTGATGGTGAGACGCGGGGAAGGGGGGTGGGATAGCGGAGATGGCAGGTGGGGATGGGCGTGGGGGTGTGCGGATGCAATTCGTGGAGGGAGGGGAATGCAGGGGGGTAGGCGCACTTGCATGCATAGTACCACTCTTTCCTACCTTCTTCACCTTTTTCACCTTTTCCCTCACTTCACTATCGCAGTCCTGCTTGCTTGCATTGCATCAGGTGCGCGCTTGCATCTCGTCCTCCTCTCAATGAATCAACGGCTGTCATCTCCTGTCCCTGCCATTCATGTTTGCCCCTCAACCCATCTCACATCTCACTCCGTCTCACCCAATTTTATTCATCATCCACTCTCACCCATCGCCCCATCTCACCCCATCTCAACCCATCTCACCCCATCTCAACCCACCTCACCCCTTTTCACCCCTCAGTGGTGCATGACATCCAGCCGGGTTTGCAAACCCTTGCTCCCGGGCAATGGGCCTTCTTCCAGATTCAGGTGGGTTTTCTTTTCTACCCTATTCAAGTGACTCTCCCCGTGCTTCCCCATCCACATGTCGTCTGCACCCTCCCCTTCCCTCCCATCATTCTCCTCATACCCGCCTCCCCTTCTTCCCTCCTGCCTCCCCTCTCCTGCCTCCCCTCTCCCCCTCTCCTGCCTGTCGCTCTCCCTTCTCTCCTCCTCGTCCCTCCCCCGTGCTCCCCTCCCCAGGTGACCCAGCCGAACACCAAGCTGCTCATCCAGATGGAGCGGGCAGCGGGCGACCTCGTCCTATTCGCCAAGCGCGCGGAGCAGGGATTCCTGCCCTTCGGCATGCCAACCGTCTTCGATTTCAACGGCTTCGCCGATATGGACTCCTTCCGCCAGCGCCTCGACCGCCACCAGATCGTCTGGAACCGCACTGAACCGGGGATTGTTCTGGTGGCGGTGCTGAACAACGATGTGGATCTGAGGGAGACGGGCGGGTTCCGGCTGGACTATCGGCTGGCAGTGGGCGGGAGGGCAGAGCGCTGTGCCCGTGGGACTGTGGGTGGCCTGCGGGGTTCTGCCAGGCACTGACGGCGGACAGAGGGGGAGGTGGGGGGGCGGATGGGGGCGCGGAGACGCAGTGCGTTTGCAACCCGGACTCTGCAGGAAGCTTCTGCCAGGGAGGTGAGTGGCGGGGACTGTGTTGTGTTGTGTTGGTCCCTGTGCTGAACAACGACGTGGCTTTGAGGGAGATGGTGGGGGGTGGGGGGGGCGGGGGGGGTGGGGTGCAGGGCGGCAGACAGCGGAGTTGGGCAAGGCGGTGAAGGGCGTGCTGCCTCCCGCCATCCGTTTTCCATCTCTTTTCAACCTCCCCTCTTCCCCCACTCTCCGAGCCCCTCCACCCTCCATTTCCCCCTCATCACAGGGCTGCAGACAGCAGAGCTAGGCAACGCAATGACGGGAGTGCTGCCGCCGGGCCATCCATTTCACACCTCGCTACCCACCCCACCCTTCCTTTCAATCCCCCATTCTGTTCTCCCTAATCACTGCATCACAGGCTTGCAGACAGCGGAGCTGGGCAAGGCAGTGGAGGGCGTGCTGCCACCGGCCATAATACGTTTCACACCTCATTTCCCAACCCCCGCTCCTTTTCCCCACCCTTTTTTATGTTCCCCCCTCACAGGGCTGCAGACAGCGGAGCTGGGCAAGGCAGTGCAGGGCGTGCTGCCTCCGGGGCACTGGACGTATGTGCAGTTCACTTTTGACCCCTCCACCAACAAGCAGATCGTCATCAGGTGAGCCCTCAGGTGCTTTCAACAGAGACCCCTTCAGGCTGCTGGACTAGGTACGGCTCAAAATTGATCGCGCCGCCAACGAACAGGTTGTCATCAGGTGAGCTTTCAGGTGCTTTCAGCTGCGTTCCCCTCACACCCAGCTGCGTTCCCCCCACACCCAGCTGCGTTCCCCCCACACCCAGCTGCGTTCCCCCCACACCCAGCTGCGTTCCCCCCACACCCAGCTGCGTTCCCCCCACACCCAGCTGCGTTCCCCCCACACCCAGCTGTGTTCCCCCCACACCCAGCTGCGTTCCCCCCACACCCAGCTGCGTTCCCCCCACACCCAGCTGCGTTCCCCCCACACCCAGCTGCGTTCCCCCCACACCCAGCTGCGTTCCCCCCACACCCAGCTGCGTTCCCCCCACACCCAGCTGCGTTCCCCCACCATGGCTCATGGTTCATGGTTGTGAGACGATGGTTCATGGTTCATGGTTGTGAGACGATGGCTCATGGTTCATGGTTGTGAGACGATGGTTCATGGCTCATGGTTCATGGTTGTGCGACGATGGTTCATGGTTCATGGTTCATGGTTGTGCGACGATGGTTCATGGTTCATGGTTCATGGTTGTGCGACGATGGTTCATGGTTCATGGTTCATGGTTGTGCGTGACAAACGACACGTTATATCGGCGCCCTTCTCTTGCTGTCCCATCCCTCCCATCTTCCCGTGCTTCCACCTTCCCGTGCTCCCACCTTCCCGTGCTCCCATCTTCCCGTGCTCCCATCTTCCCGTGCTTCCATCTTCCCGTGCTCCCATCTTCCCGTGCTTCCATCTTCCCGTGCTCCCATCTTCCCGTGCTTCCATCTTCCCGTGCTTCCACCTTCCCGTGCTTCCACCTCCCCGTGCTTCCACCTTCCCGTGCTTCCACCTTCCCGTGCTTCCACCTTCCCGTGCTTCCACCTTCCCGTGCTTCCACCTTCCCGTGCTTCCACCTTCACCCGCAAGAGAGGCCAAGCGAGCTTAGTAGCGAAGCAAGGCGTGGAGCCCTCTCTCCTGGACAACGACTACCGGTTCACGGTGCGCGTGACCAATGGCACGCTGGTGTCTCTTCCTCTCCTTCTGTCCCATCCCTTGGACCCCTCTCACCCACCCTCCCGTTCCCCGTGCTTCCAGCTTCACACGGAAAGGGGGACAAGCCAGTCTAGTAGCGAAGCAAGGCGCAGTGCCCTCCCTGTTAGACAACGACTACCGGTTCACGGTGCGCGTGACCAACGACACTCTGGTGTCGCTGTTTGATGTGGTCAACTCGTCGCTGGAGGGGCCCTACACCTTCGGCATCTTCAACCTCAACTACTACGTGCACCAGAGCTGCGAGTTCGAACTTGAGTTCAAGTACAAAGGTGCGGTCATGTGCGGTCGTGTGTGGTCACGTGTCTCCCTTGCTGGCATCTTCAACCTCAACTACTACGTGCACCAGAGCTGCGAGTTTGAACTCGAATTCAAGTACCAAGGTGGGTGGAAGCACAAAGGTCGTTCTGAGTGCAGAAGTGCAAGTGCAAATGCTCCCTTTCTCGCATCTTCATCCTCAATAACAACATGCACGCACCAGCACACTGGTGTCGCTGTTTGAGTGCAAAAGGTGCTTGCACCCTGACTCATTGTTCGAAGGGCTGCAGTGGTTGAATGGACGCTTAAGCAAAGGAACAACAGTGAAAAATTCAAGTGAAAAAACGCAGATCTGAAAAGCCCTTAGCTTCCGAAAAGCCTCCTTGCGTAAACTAGTTTCGGCGGATGGGCAAGCCCAATCACGCCTTCATCAGTACAGCACAATTCGGAACTCAGAAAACAAAGAGCCTGGTAGCAGCTAAAGTAGCTAGACTACCCTCGAGATCTACATACAAGAAACCCGACTACCCAGAATCCAACTAGGAAAGGGGTTCGCCAACTAAGCAATGAAACAAATTCAGGGTGCCAAGTCAGCCTTCGGGAACTTCTTCGACAATCTTGGCGAGTGACTTTGGTAACCGCGCCCTTACAAGTAACCGTTGAAGGTTACGCGCACACTTCCATGCAATTATAATTCTCCCAACATAAAATCCGCGAGACATGAGACGACTTTTGAGGCGCCTCAAAAGTCAACATGCACGCACCAGCACACTGGTGTCGCTGTTTGAGTGCAAAAGGTGCTTGCAGATGAGTGCACCAGCACACTCATCTACACCGCATGCTCGTCTTCCTGCTGTCTTGGTGCCTTGCTCCGCTCCTCCTACTCACCCCCCATCCATCCCCCCCACAGATTCCCCCCAGCTTCTTCGACTCGCCATACATAATCATAAGTTACGCAGTTCTCGCCTTCCTGCTGCTGCTCCTCATAGTCATTGTGCTGCGGCCCCCGCCCCCCCTGTCAACCCCTCCCCGTTTCCCCCCCTGTGTGCCTCACAGATTCTCCCAGCTTCTTTGACTCGCCCTACATAATCATAATCTACGCAGTTCTCGCCTTCCTGCTGCTCGTTCTCATCGTCATCGTGCTAAGATGCGTCATCCGCCGCCCGCCGCCCGCCACTGCTGACGTGGAGCTCTCCGCCGTCGGTGACATGGACAGGGTGAGTGCTGACGTGGAGGACTTTGCTGCCAGCAATGTGGTTCAGGTTCAGGGTGATTGCTGGTGTGTACCGATGGCTGGTCTGACATGGAATGTGCTGATTGGCTCTGCTATCCCTCCCTCGACGAGCCTCCTTTACCTGTAACCATTGCCCCCATCCCATATACCTCCACTTGTACTTGCCCCATACGTCCATGTCTGCTCGCACAGCACATCTGTCTTCATAACTCTGCACCATGCTCCCAAACACGCCTCGCGCCCCTCTCCCCACGCCTCGCCCCTCCTCGTCCGTTTCCCCCCCCCCCCCCCCCCCCCCCCCCTTCCTCCCACTCCTCTTCACCCGTCCATCCCCTTCCTGCCTTTGTCCCCCCCTCATCAGCACGAGTGGAGGCGGTGCCAACAGGGGTGGACAGGGCGCGGGTGGAGTCGTTCTTTCCGACTCTCTGTGCCCTACTTCCTCCCCTTGTTTGCCCCCTTGCCCTCCCGTGGCACCCCTCACCTCTTGTCTCCTCCTCTCGTATCCCTGCCCCTGCCCCTCATCACCACGTGGAGGCGGGCGGTGCCAACAGGGGTGGACACGGCGCTGGTGGAGTCACTCCCTCTGACTCTCTGTGCCCTACTCCCGCCCCCTGCCCTCTCCTCTTGTGACATCCCTCCGCTCTGATCCCCTCTCCTCCATCCCCTCCCTGCCCCTGGCCCCCCAACAGCACGTGGAGGCGGCGTCAACAGGCGTGGACAGGGCGCTAGTGGAGTCGTTCCCGCTGGTGAAGTATCGAGACGACCTCTTTGAGTCCTCTGACGACGCACAGTGAGTGCTGTGAGCTTGTTCCAGCTGGCAGTTGAGCATTGTTCTAAGCTGCCTGTAAGGCCTCCGCAGTCTGCACTCAACCCCCTTTCCCATCTCTCATGACCCATACTCCACCATCCTTCCGAGATGGGAACCCTCCGTACTCCACCATCCTTCCGTCCTCCCATATCCATCTCCCTCCGCTCCTCGTCATTTCGCCCTGATCTCTCCCGGTCTCACATCTTTCATCCCTCATCCCTCATCCCTCATCCCTCTTCCCCCCCACTCCTTCCCCTCCCTCCAGCTGTGCGGTGTGCCTAGCGGACTACGATGAGGAGGAGAGTCTGAGGAAGCTACCAGTGTGCAGCCACTACTTCCACGTGTCGTGCATCGGGGAGTGGCTGCGCACACGCTGCTCCTGCCCCCTCTGCCGCCGCTACGTGCTGCTGCAGCCACCGCAGCCGCAGCAGCCTCATCAAGCAGAACAAGCAGAGCAAGCATCACAGAGAGAGCAGGCAGGGCAGGTGACGCAGCCCACACAGGCGGAGCAGGACGGCCTGAGCTGCGAGGAGGGTCAGTCAGAGCAGCTGCTGCCAACTCAGTTGGGGCAGCGCAACGAGAGGTGTGCGGAGGCGGGGTCAGAGCATGGCGAGGAGGGGCGAGTGGCAGAGCAGGGGCAGCAGGGGCAGCAGGGGCAGCAGGGGCAGCAGGGGATGGCTCAAGTGCTTATGGAGGGCAGTGAGGTCATACAGGGTGCTGGCGAGGCCTGTGCTGTGCAAAATAGTGTGTGTGGGGAAGGTGTATCGGCAGAGGAGCAACAAGGGGAGACACAGGTGGATGTGAAACTGCGGATACAACAGGAGCAGCAGAAGAGGCCGGAGGAGCAGCATCAACAACGGGTTGAGGCGCAGGAGGAAAGAGAAAGGGACTGGCAGAGGCATGAAGAGGAGCGACTGATGAAGCGGGAGGGAGAGGAGCAGTTGAATCAGGAGGAGTGTGACGGGGAGAATGATGTGATATATAATCCAGAACCAGTTCTAGAAGGCTTGTTGGATGGAGATGGAAGGCAGTATGGGGAGCGGCGAGAACATAATGCAGAACGGTCTGAACATGCATGCATTAGCCGGATGCCATAAGGCATCACACATAGGTAGGACGCCTGTTTATAGTTAATGCTGAATGGAATGTGAATGTTGGGGAACACAATGGAGCTGAGATAGTTCATATGTGTGTGTGTGATCATATAAACGGTGATATCAGCTTTTGCTTGTGCTACATGCACCGTACCTTCCTATACCGGAGTGAACTCATTGCCGCCCTGGCAAGTGAGATGTGTGGCGAACTTCAGCTGCATTGCGTGGGGGTTTGCGTTGCGATGGCAACGAGCACAGCGAAATGTCTCGCATCACTCTGACGTGGGTTCAAGTAGTTTTCGCGAAGCTGGTTTTCGCTTTGCCTCCAGCCTTTTCGAAAGATGTAGAAACGAGTGTCACGGTAACACGCCAGCTTTCGCGTATATTTACCAGCGCACGTAACGGAGATATGGGGATTTTCAAGTAGACCGAGCCGCTCCGGACCAGCAACGAGTCGCGCGGACCCATCACATTCCCCGTCGCACATTGCCAAATGCTCATAGCTCAGGAAATCCAAGTCAAGCCCCGCCTAACCCTGACCTTACCTTGGTAATTTGCGCCTCGACTTACCAAACCAAGGGGCGCTTGTTTTGAGTTCCAGCCAGCCCAGGCTAGGCTTGACTTGAACATCGCTCCGCTCCACCACTTCGCCGCAACTGTTTCAGCGACAACAGCACAACCTAATACTCAAGTCAGCATGCGATGCGACTCCGCTCCGTGCCGTACTACCGAATACCTATCCTTTCCAGCATGCATGCCCTTTCATTCTTGACAGTGCATCGACGTATGGATGGATATCCGCCGCAGTTCTGATCAAATACACGTAAGGTCTGTAGTCCGTACGATATGTAAGCCAACGTGGCAGGGGCTGGGGGAGGGGGGTCCTTACTCCTGTTGAGCGTCGACCAAAGCATGTCAATCCCCAAACAGTGTTACCAAGCGCAGCAAACCTACCAACGCTGAGAGAAATAGAGCACAGTGAGTTTTCGCGGGGCGACGAGACGGTGCTCGATTACGCAGGTAGCGAGCGCACAGGACCGGCACTGAGTCGGGCGAGTGAGCGGCAACCAACAGCGAGCGACGAATCACCGATAACCGCCAGACGAGGCAGCAGCACTTGGTGCCGCTTAGGAGGAACATCGTTCTAGGATTTGTTCGAGTCGAGTCAGAAGTCGAGTCGAGTGGTCTCTCTGGGTACAGTGCGCTGGACAGGAAAAGAAACCCTTTCTTTCGGACCGCAACAGCTCTCATCAAACTTCCTTTTCTCCCCGACGGCGCTCAGTCCTGACCAGAATGGATGGACGAAACCGATGCGAGTGTTGTGTCGATGTTTTGGTGCCGGCTTCGAGGATAGACTAGTTATATTAGCAGTTTATCGCGCCCCGTTCGTTAGAGTTTAGGACAAAGAGGGCTCCGTCGTCTCTCCTCTTTCTAGCCTCGGGTTCTCGCGATCGAGCCGTCGCATGGGGTCAGGCGACAAGCGGCAGGCTGCGGGCCTGTAAGATACAGAGTAGTAACGAGCGTGCTTGAGGACACCAGGCGTTCGCCAGGTATACGCCGCAGGCTGCGGGCCTGTAAACTCCCTCATCTGCGCTCCGCAAGATACCGAGTTGTAGCGGGCGGGCTTGAGAATACCAGACGCTCGTCCGACGAGCGTCTAGAGTCTAGTAGTCGCGCACTAGAGGTCACTAAGTTGGTGGGGGTGGCGGGTTGCAGGGATAGGAGTGAACGTAGAGAGGGTAGAGAAGGCCGAGCAAAGGAGGATTGGCGACATGGCATGGAAGATCCAGGTTAGTTCGCAGGCGTCGCACGGTGATTATAGCCTCGCCTCTACTGATTTGCGACGGTCGGGTTACATATCGCCACGTATATTCTGTGAAGGCTTGTAGCGTCTGCGTAGTCAGACACGAGCGACACGTGTCTGATCCGAGTTGGCTCAACCCCACCCCCGCCCCCCTCTTGGGTTGCTGTGCGACAGGCAATGGTGTCGCCCGCCGGCCAGTCGTCGCACAAGGTTCACCACGTCGATCCGAAGCAGCGAAAGAGGTGATCCCACGGGTTTTGAGGCGCCTTGTTCCTATCCAGTGCAACCCGAGGCACAGGTTTCAAAATTCGCACCTGCTTCACTCTTCCGTCAGCGCTTCGAACTAGGCTCTTTTCCCCCTTTCTCGCTCTCTATTCTCCGAGAAGCCATCCCTCCCGTGCCTCCCCTCCGCTCCCTTCCCTCCGCCCTCGTCTCAGCTCTGCGAAGCAGGCTCCTCGTCGCAGTCGCATGCGATTCCTCTGCGGCGTCCCCTGCATGGACGCCGTCGTCGACGACGACTCGTGCGACAACGTGCGACTGGCAACACCAGACACTACCGCGGCGGTCCTCCGCAAGCCCGCGCAAGTGGAAGGAGCTGCGCAGCAGGGGGAAGCAGCCCCTCCCAGGCTGCCGATCCCCAGGCTCGGCAGCGGAAGCCCCGCGGGCCGGCGCGGGGGCGGCGGCGGAGGGCGAGCTGCGGGCGCTGCTGCGCCTTCCGCCAACGGCGCCGCCGGCGGAAGACACGTCGCAGCTGGTCGCGCAAGCCGCAGCAGGAGTCGCAGCGGAAGCAGCGGAGGGAGCGGGAGTAGCGGGGGCGGAACGGCGGGGGGGCTGGACGAGCGGGTGGGGGAGAGGAGCGAGCGGTGGTTGGGATCTAACGGCTCTCACGCGGGAAACGCGGCGGACTTGGCGGGGGAATCGTCAGACGAGGACGACGCGAGCGACAGCGGGATCATGTTCGCCGGGGCTAAAGCCGAGCTCGCTGAGCGCATTTGGCGGCGGCAAGTGCGGGGAGCAATGAGCAAGGAAGGTGCGGGAAGGGAAGGGGGGGTGGAGGAGGGGACGGGGAAGGAAAAGGAAGCAAGAGACGAGGGGCGGGGGGACGATGCGCGCGCAGGGGAGCGGGAGCGGCGGGGGGAGGAGGTAGAGATGATTCGACTGTTGCAGGAGCGGAAAGAGCGGCAGCAGCAGCGGCAACAGCAGCAACAGCAGCAGCAGCAGCAGAAGCGTCTAGGCCTCTATCGAGAAACGGGCGGCATGGGCACAAACAGCGACAGCTCGGCGAAACACTATATCGAGGACATGGCTGGCCGATTAGCGGAGCATGAGGAAAGGGGGGACAAGGATGGGAGGGGTAGGGGGCATGGAGATGCGGGGGATGCGGGAGGCGGGATGAGAGGCGGGCGGAACTATTGGCGGGAAGTGGTGCGCCAAGGGGCCTCTGAGCGCGGGGAACACGACGGGGTGGCGCAAGGGGAGGCGCGGAAAGAGGTGGCGGAATCCGCGCAGAGGATGGCGGAAGCGCAGGAAAGGGGACAAGCGGGGGGGGCAGCGGAACTGGTGGGAGGGGATTCAAGGGGGGCGGAGGCGGAGAGTCATGCCTGCGACAGTGCGAGGGACAGTGAAGAGAGTGCTTTTAGCGAGGATAGCTGGGGAAGGAGCGGGGAAGAACGCGCGGGGGAAGAACTTGGGGGAGTGTACGCGCGGGGGGAGGGGGAGAGACGGGGGGGTGGCGCAGGAGAGGAAGCGGAAGAAGACTTAGACGCGCTAGAAGATGATTCGTCACCCGTTAAGAAGCTGTGGCAAGGGCTAATGGGTTCAACCGGTGCTGGTGACACGACAGTTGGAAGTACTAGTGGTGCTAATGCTGATGGTACTCTAGCTGGTGATAGCGGCGCTGCTGCGTCTGCCGCTGCTGGCGGCGGCTGTGCCGGCGGCGCGTGCGGCGGGGGGCAGGGGGGCATGACGCCTAGACGACGCGCAAAGATGATTCGACTGCTCGAGGAGGTGAGGGAAGAGGAGGGCGAGGGGGAGGAGGAGGGGGAGGGGGAGGAGGAGGGGGAGAGGGAGGAGGAGGGGGAGAGGGAGGAGGAGAGGAGACAGAAAGGATTGAGGAATGAGATGATGAGTCGTGGCGAAGGGATGGGTTGGCTGGGGGCGGAGATGGAAGAAGTGGGGGAGGGAGGAGGAGAATGCGGGGAGGAGAGGGAGATGGGTTTTGAGGAGAGGGAGATGGGTTTTGAGGAGTCGCTGGGTGTGTGGAGGGCGAGAGAGGAGGCATCGTGGCGCGAGAGGGTGGCGGGGTGGGAGGAGCGGAGAGGAGGGGAGGCTTGGGAGGAGGAGGATGGGGATGAGGAGGAGGGGGAGGGGGAAGGGGAGGGGGAAGGGTCAGAGCTTGTGAGAGAGGGACGAGAGGTGGAGCAGCGAGAGGAGCAAGGTGAGTCAGTTGAAAGGGGTGGAGTGGTGGAACAGAGCTTGCAGTGGTTGGGTTCGGTTCTACAAGAGGATGGAGGCGGGGTGGAGAGAATCAGAGGGGATGGTAGAGACGGCAGAGACGGCAGAGAGCTGGCAGCACAGCATGAGCTCACAGCACAGCATGAGCTCACACCTCAATACGGGCTGAAACCCCAGCAGGAGCATTCTCTCACGTCGTCCTATGTGACCTTTGACTCACAGCCGTCGCCCACACCATCTGGTTCAGAAGCAGCCGACACAGCAACATCCGCTCTAGCACCCGCCCACTCTCTCTCCCCCCTAAACTCTTCCACTGCTCCCTCCCTCTCCCCCCAAACCACCTCCTCTTCTCCCTCCTCCCCTCCGCTCCACTCTGCTTCCGCCCCTCCCGGGCCTGCGCTTACTCCTGCTGCCGAGCCTCCATTGCCGAGCCTGGGCCCGGTGGAACCGAGCCTGGCGGCGGTTCGGCCGAGGCTGACGTCGAGTGTGATTCGGAACGCACACCGCAAGGTGGTGGCGCAGCGAGTGGCTGCCACGGCTGAGGCCAGAGCTGCTGCTGCTGCAGCCGCTGCTCCTCATGCTCCTCATGCTACTCCTGTTGCTGCTGCTGCTGCCGCTGCTGACGCCCGATTTGCCGCTCATGCCTCTGCTGCTCCGCATACTGCTCCTGCTGCCGTTGCCACCGCTGCTGTTGCTGAGATTCGAACTGCTGAGACGAGAACTGCTGAGGCAATCCCTAGTGCACCAGGTGCTCTTGGAGCTGCCATTACTGCCACTGCCACTGCAGCTGCTGCCATTACTGTCGCCGCATCTGCAGCCTTTGCTGCTGATGGCGGTGCTGGTTCTATCCAGGAAATGCCAGCGGTGCTGTCAGGTGCAGAGGTAGCCGGAGCAGTTGTGTGGGCTGCAATGGAAAGTGACAGAGGGGAACGCAGCGAGAGAGGGAAAGGTGGAGGGGAGCAGCAGGGGCGGAGAGGCGGTGAGGAGGCAGGGCGGATAGAAGGTGATGCAGGGGGGAAGGGAAGCAAGGCGGGGAAGGGTGGGAGGAGAGAAGCGAAGAAAGGCAGTGGAGTAGTGAAGGAGAAGAAAGGGCGAGGGGTGAAGGGTGGTGGTGAGGTGTGCAGAGGGGAGGAGGAAGGGAAGGGGCGTGGCAAGGCTGGGGTAAGAGAGACACAGACAGCAGCAGCAACAGCAGCACCGTTGGATCCAGCAGCTTTGCAATCCCCATCGTTGGATGCAGCAGCTGTGCAATCTCCATCGTTGGATGCAGCAGCAGCAGCAGCAGCAGCAGCGGCAGCTGCACCAGCAGTGGAGAATGCCGGTTCCCCCCAACCACCACCACAGCAAGCAGCACCAACAGCCATCCCACCGTTAGTAGCACCAGAGGCTGCAGTCACACAGACTGGTTACCACCTGCCTTCTCGCACGTCCTCTCACTCTCTCTCCTCCGCCTCTATTCCCCCCCATGCCTCTATTCCCCCCCATGCCTCCACTGCCACTGCTGCTGCTGCCGCCGCTGCTGTTGCCCGCTTCCTTGCAGCAGCAGATTCCCAGCTTCAACTGTCCCTCCCTCCCTTCCCCCCGCCGCCTGAAACCACTGGTAACCCTGTTACACAGGAGAACGGCTATCCGTGGTACACTCCTCACCACTCCTCTCAACCGTGCTTTTACGCACCATCTCCCTTCACACCCTATCCCACAACCGCTCCCAACCCCACTGCATCTTGCTTCCCTCCCCGAGCCATCTCCCTCGGTGCCATCAGCACCCCGCTGCACTCTCCAAACCTCTTCTTCCCAGGCTCGGATCCGAACCACGCCACCGCAGGAGCAGCAGCCGCTGCTACAGCGGCAGGCTCGGCACCAAGCCAAGATGCATCTGGCTCGGGGTCAGCCAACGTTCAGGGCTCAACCCAGGAGAGTGCTCCGTCCCACCCACCAGGGTCTGCTGCTCCCTCCCACCCGTTCCCTGCACCTGCTCCTGCTGCTGCTGCCGTTCCACCTCGAGTTCGCTCCCTCACTGCAATTGGTGCAGATACCGGGAGAGACAGCAGCACCCCCAGTGACTGGATTGCAGCAGTCCCTGCAGCAGCAGCAGGGACTGGTTTGCAGTGGCGTCGCTCCTTTAGCCCTTCCCACTTCGCCCATCCCGCCTTCCCTCCACGAGTGTACTCTCTCGGTGCGCTTGCCTCCGCCTCCCAGCAACAGCAGCAGCAGCAGCAGCAGCCTTACCAGATGCATCCTTTCCCAATGCCTTTCCACTACCCATATGCTTATTTGCAAGGTTGCAACTACACCCAAGGCTACAACGGTAACCAGCAGTCCACGCAGGTATTGCAGCAGCCAATGATCATCAACGCCCCTTCTGCTGCTGATGCAGTGGCTGCCGCTGCTGCTGCTTCTGGATCCAGTCACTTGGATCTGCAGACAGCGCAGCAGCCAGCACAGCAGCTAAAGCAGCAGCCAGCGCAGCCGCGGCAGAAACAACAGGAGAAAAAACTGAATACGCAGCAGCTTCATGGTGGCAAGCACCATGAGCAGAAGCAGCAGCAGCAGCAGCAGCAGCAGTCAAAGCAGCCACGAAAGTCGTGCCTGAAGAAGGGCTCAAAGCAGAGCATGGCTTCCAAGGCATCGCTCCAGGAGGCAGGTGCAGGTGCAGCAGCATCAGGCAGACCAGGGGAAACACCAGGCAAGCTGGTGGTGACACCAGGCGCGGAACCTGCAGGGACAGCGACAGCAAGAGGGAGTGCCCCTGGCAGCAGCGAGCAGGGTGCCGGTCAGAGACAGTACTTGGTCCTGGAGTTGCCTCCGCCTGATTGCGCCGACTTTGCCACTCATGCCACCACTGCTCCTGCCACCACTGCCGCCGATGCTGCTGCGGATAGTGTCTATGCTGGCCATTCTAACGCCGTGCCTCCTGGGAATGACATTGGAAGCAACAATGAAGCAGCTGCCACTGCCCTCGGCTCTAATCCCGTGCCTAGTGGTCGCACTCTTTTCCCCTTCCCGCCCTACCACCCCTCCTCCTACCTCCCCTCCGCTTACCATCCCCTCATGGACCCATACACTGGACTGCCCTGGGGGATGGCTCCACCAATGGGGGGAGCCACGTGGCAGCTCCTGGTTTCAGTGACCACCTACCGTGGATAATGCCTCCCCAGAAACAACCTGTCTCTTTGGCTCCAGCACAGAGCGCTTGGGGCCCTGATGGGTGGACTGATGGTGCTGAAGGGTCGGGTTGGGGTGTGGGTTTGGAAGCAGGTGATGATGCAGCTGTTTCTACCCATGCAGTCGCAGGGATGGAAGGGTTTGAGGTGCATGACTCGGTGACACTGCTTCCAGATAAGAATAGCAGTGGTGAGAGATGTAGGGTCGAGGGTGCTCGCAGTGCTTGCAGTGGTGGTGATGGCAGCAGCAGGAAGGTGCTTTATGGGAAGGATGTTCATCCAAATGTGGTGATGAGGCAGAGGAGCGCCACTCCACCTCGTCAGCACCTTTTGCACCAAAAATAATAAGCGAGAACTGTACATTAAAATACCTTTTTGTATTACTTGTGGCAAAATCCATCTGGTGTGATGGACAGGAAAGGGGGTTATGGAGATGGCTGATGGTGCAATTAAGGTGACGATGGAGGCATGCGCCCATAACAAGAATGAGATGGCATTTGGATGGGGGCAGGGATAATGTGCACTTTGATGTCATTTATGGCTGATCAAATCAAATTGAGTATGCAACTTCTACGTCTTCAACACAACAAAGCTCATGTCTATACATCTATTTCCGAGTATCCGTCATGTTTTGTAAGTAGCGACACTCAGATTCCGAATCACGACATACTCACTGTCGGATCGCCTTATACCACGGCTCTACAAGAAGCCTTTCCCGAGTCGCAGTGACAAACGCGAATGTTCTAATAAAGCACATCCGAACAGCGGTTTGGCTCAAGCGTCCAAAGCAACGTAGGCTCGTTCCCCCACAAGCAAACCTCAAAGGGCGGACGTGATGGCTCCAGGTCAGCGCGTTTCGGCTGTGATGGCTTGTCATTTTTGGTTCGGTGTTCGCGAGTCGCGGTCTCAATGTGATCCGTACGTACCGTACTGATCGAGCGCTTCGACTTTTCCATCCCTCCCCTCAAATTTGCGCCCCTCACATACACACGCTTGCCCCTCTCCCAACAATTTGGGCCGGAGACCCGTGTCGTATTCGGCGGGGCCTTGCGCCCGCTTTCCGCCCGTCTCTTTCTCGCAGACAAGACCAAAAAGACAGCCAGGCGTTTTCGGAAAGACAGGGAGCTGGGCGCAGAAAAGGCTTCAATCATCCCAGGTCCTGCCTCCGTCCAGGTGCCTCCACTCCACTCACTCTCCAGCCCAAACAAAATTCTTTCAGCCTACAGCATCACTCATTCTAGCATACAACTGTCCGCTTCGCGCCTTTTCTCCTTCCCATCCTGTATCCTTCGTCCCAACTTCCGAATCAACGCCCAGATATGATCAAGCACCTCCACCACCCGACCAGCCTCCAGTAGCGATTATGAGCTAAATTAGTCAATCTCCTCCGTCGCCAGGCACATTTCACGCATCTTAATGTTGCCGTCACGATCACACTCCACCTCGTCGATTCACCCAGGCAGCGACATGGCAGGAAGCGCTCAAGGCGCGGTTTCGTGTCTGCAGCAGCAGCAAGAGGTAGAAGGGCAGATGTATGTAACCAGGCGGCATCAGCACCAGCAAAGGCAGCTGCAACCTCAGCAGCAGTACGGACAGGTCTACCCCGAAGAGAGGGATGTGCCGCGGAAGCAGGATCACGCAGTGTCGGCTAGGAAAGAAGTGGCGAAGGTTCGAGCGCACGGCTCGAGCCGGCAAAGGGAATGGAAGGCAAAGAGCCTGATGCGATCGAGTCAACGAAGTCAACGGCGCTCGCCCGCGCGGTACGAGGGAGGCAGCGACCAGCCAGATTGCTTCTTCTCCTCGTGCTGCTGCTTGATGTTTGTTCGCCACAAACGACGGCCCAGATCTTCGTGCGGCAGCGCGTCAAATTACTCCGGACGGCTCTCTTCGACGCGGCGTAGCCAGGAGCTTGTGCACGGAGATTTCGCTGAAGATGGCGCTGAGCTGGGGCTCTCTGAGCATGCGGGAGCGGAAACGACGGGCGCGCGCAGTGTCTCCCCCGTCGAGCTTCTCCGCGCAGGCTCGCGCAAAGGAGGGGCGCGGGAGAGAGGGTGGGCCGCGGGGGAGAGAGACGAAGACGAAGACGACGACAACGACGACGACGACGATGACGATGACGCTGTCGATGACGATAACGATGACGGCGACTATTATGAAGAGGGGGACGAGCAACCTGGGGAAGACGAAATTGAGCACAGCCCGGTTGAAAGAGTTGAAATCGCTCGAGACGCCGATGCATGCGTTACCCATGGCTTCATAGGCTCGTCTACTGCGACTAGTTTTCCAAACAATCCAACCAGTGGGACCGCGGAAACTCCGGCTGACATGTCAGATGCCTCTGACAGTCGTTACCCCTCCGCGCCTCGCCTCCCTCGCGGCGTTTCCAAGGAGACTCTGGTGTCGCTCATCCGCACGGCGGAGGAAGTCGGCGCGCTGCGCGCGACGGAATCGAAAGACGCCGCGGCTCTGCTGCTCGCAGCCTTGGAAGACATCTCCGTGCCGTCCGTCCACCGAGCCAGCAGCCTCGGCAAGATCTCCTGCAGCTCCGGCTCGGGAGCTGCCGCCGCCGCTGCGGCATCTGCAGCAGCGGCCGCCGCGGCAGCCGCCGCCGCCGCCACCGCTGTTACGGGGCGTTCGAGAAGACCAGTTTTGGGAAGTGGCAAGGTGGCGTGCTTTCCTGGCGCCGGCAGCTGCGTCGTTCCGCGATCTCTCTCCGCCGACCTCCTCACCACTCGTTCCCTGGAACTGAGTCACTCGCTGGAGCTCCGTCAATTCATGGAAGAACAACGCGTTGTTGTGGGGGATGGGCTGTTGATTCTCGACCGTTCGATGGAGATGCAGCACATGGCGGAGATGGACCCGATCTCCATGGAGCAAGGGTATTCCCCGAAGCTTGGCGGCTTTGACGAGTCAGTTGAGTTCGACAGGTCAACGGCGGTCAACGGCCGGTCAATGGAGTTCAACCGGACTTTCGAGATCAAACGGTCCTCCCAGCCGCCCGTTCTTGCCGAACCTAACTCCAAGCCTAAGGCTGCCTCGGCACGAGGCAGCAGCTCAGCTCCGACCCGCCCAGCAGTACCCCGGCAAGAGCCTCTCTCGCCTCTCATGCTTCCAAGCCACAGGCATGACTCGTTTGGGCCATCTCGCCTCTCTCTTGCGCGTGATTCGCCAGAGGGGAGTGAGGAGGGCGAAGAAACGGAGGATATCAGTGTAAGCAGGAGCAACAGCAGCACTGGTGGAGGCAGTTGCGAAGGGAGTAGTGCAAGGTGCAGTGCGGCAGAGGAGCGAGAGGGCGGGATGCAAAGGGATGCAGTGCGGTTTGATTCCGAAGCTGGCAGAGTGGGGAGCGGAGGGGAGAGTCGAAGTGAAGTTGTAACAGAAGTGCAACAGTTCGTTCGCAGCAGCCGGGGTGTCAACACGGCGAGAGGATCCGCGCCAAGGATAGCTATTAACGGGGACAACACCAACCTGTCACTTAACATGCGTAACATGAACAGTCCTAACAACTTTAGCAATCTTAACCGGTCTGCTCCTTTGGACTTCCCAAGTCTCCCCTCCATGCCTGCCTGGCCAGCTCCGGCCAAGCCTCGAATGGCCTCGTCCGTCATTGTCAACGCTCGTCGCCGAACCTTCAGCCGTCCACACTCTCCTGCTCGAGCCTACAGTCCCCGACCCCTTTCCCCCATAGCCTCCTCCACTCCAACAGGTTCGGGCTTGGGTGGTGCCTCTGGGTGGGCTGCAAGGAGGGGAGTGGACGCTGGGAACAGTGCAGATAGAGGTGGGGAAGGGAGTGGCAGCACAATTATTGACGAATCAAATGGCAAGGTTCGATGCTCTTATGCGAGCTTGGAAAGAAGCTGGTCTGGAGATCTGGGCATGAGGGGTGGATTCAATGACAGTGGGGTTAGCTTGAGGGAGAAGGCGTGGGAGGGTGAGCAGGTCGGGGAGGAAGAAGATGCTTGGGAAATGAGGCAACAGCACCAGAGCCAGCAGATCCAGCAACAACCGCAAGACGTTGATGAGGACTTGTATTACTACCATTTGTGGCAGCAGCAGCACAAGCAGTTCCAAAAACTGTATGAGCAAGAGGAGGATTGTGGGTTCCAGCAGCGGGAGCAGCAGGTGCAGTACCAGCAACGCCTGCAGCAGGAAGCGTTTAGGGCTAGAGATGGTGCGAAACGACATTGGAGGCCTTGATCCACAGCTCGTTGATGTAATTAGATTTACGTGTTTTGTGATGCTTAACTTTGTTTCTATTTTCTGAAATACAGATAAACAGCCACATGGTTCTGCAAAACTGGATTTCATATTGCAATCTCATCAGAATTCTACATCTCATTCTGATGCATGGACTGTAGAAAGAACATATAGCTGAAGTCGAACTGCAACCTCTTGTTGGTTCGGCGCGTGAGGCCAGAGGTCAGGTCGGGTGGCCTGGTGTACAGTACTGGCGGCGGGAGTGATGTGCAGGGAGTTGCATACAGCGTCGTCAGTCCAAGGCTCAGGCGATGCCGTGGTCCATCTTACCGTCCGTTTGAAAGTCCCAGTCTTTCCGGGGCTCGAGTTTGAAGATCCCAGATTCTGACACCATTGTTTTTCCACAATGCGGTGTTATCGTGCTTTGGAGATTACTCGGAAGCATCATTTTACACAATTTTCTCCAATGAATACAATCGCTCCGATTCTGCATTCTTTCCCTAGGACCAAAAACTGTAGCTGTTTGTGGGGACAATCCCCACCACCCATTCCCAAGCACGCTTGCATCCAGGAAATCGCGCCTCGAAACTTAAATTTCCCTCGTCCCCCTAGCCGAGAGCAAGATTTTTCCCGCCGCTGGAGCAAGCTTCCATCTTCCCTGCACACCCCACTCAACCCTCTGAACAACCAGCCAGCCTACCTGGACTGAAAGGGTGCTTCTGTCTGTGCTGTGCTGTTGCAGGGCAACATCATTGCAGCTCATTTTCGCACATTCACAGGTCTTGTGTCGTGTGGCTCAGGACGGTTACAGACGGTGAAAAGCGGTTTTCAAAGTTTACCGTTTCGCACCGTGACGAAACGAAGTTGACCACAGTGCTACCTGACGTCCCCAGCCCAATCCCCCCACAGGGAAATGGCGTGCGAAGATAAATGCTCCCGCTGATTGTGTGAGTTCCGCGCCCGTGAGGCTTAGCGTACACGGTTTTTGGGGCCTGTAAGCAACCGCGAGCAGATCGAGTCAAGAAACCTGGCCGCTTGTTTCGCCCAACTTATCTGCTGATTATCAGACGGAATAACTAGCGGAGCTAGATCATCCTGTCCAAGCCCCAGACCCCGTCAGCGTTTGGTTGCTCCCACGCCGTGGCGGCTGTTAAAGCCTTTGGCTACGTTTTCTCACCTTTCGCGCCGCGTCCGCCGCAGCGCTTACCTCTAGGAAAACCCAACAGGTTCTCGTTCTTCGCGCTCAAATATAAAATTATTAAGCAGATTCTCGTTCTCGTTCTCGTTATTCTCGTTCTTCCTCTAAATCAAAGGCATTTCGGACTGCCGGTCGAGGACGCCACGTGTAATGCAAGGACTGGCGTGGAGACCAGGAGTCCCGGCGGCGTGCAGTTTCTGCGGTGCGGCTTTTCACCAAGGCGCATCCAGTGGCGATGGTGGAAGTACCAGCACAGTTACATCATCCAACCAGACTGCTATGACCAGCAACAGTCGCGGTACTGCTTCGAGTATGGTTTCTAGTAGCACAGCCAGCGCCAGCAACGATAAACGGACGGTCACTAGCACCACCGCCTTGGCGTCGCGGGGGTCGCACGACTTACCTTGCGATGAGGGGGAGGCCGTCACAGCGACCGCCAGCACCTGCGGGGGCGTCGCGCCCTGCGACGTCCCAAGCGCTCCCTGCGACGTCTCCAGCACGTGTCTTCACGCAGTCCGCGGTAGTACCTGCAGACTGCACGCTTGCGCGGGTCTCGCGAATGACGCTACCACTAGCAATAACAGCGAGGCGCTCCCGAGCTGTGGGGGTACTTGTGGGATTAGCACTGGCGGTGACGCGGCGGAATCTGTGGCGGCGGCGGACGCGCCGCCGTTGGAAGCGGCGGCGGTCACGGCTGTTGACGAGTCGACCCAAGTCGTCGCCTCAGCGCCGCCTGTTTTAATGGCGGCGTTAACGAGCCCCAATGCGGCCTCGACGCGTCGCATCGAAGAGCTGACGGCCCGCGCAACCCACGACGACCCGACGCGCACCGTCACGGTCACGAATAGTACTGCTGGCGATGGTAACAGACGCACTTCGATCCCACAACTTCAAGTTGACGCAACACATCCCCGTCAAGCTGACACAGTGCGTGCAGCAGCAGCTGACGCAGTGCGTGCAGCAGCAGCTGACGCAGTGCGTGCAGCAGCAGTTGACGGCAGCGCCGAATCTAGAAGACCCAGCAGTCCTCGCAGGGCGATTCTGGATGCGCTGCGCGGCGGCCCACTGCACGGCGAACGGGGAGCTCTAAATCGGGGATGGTCTCGCATAGTCAGCTTCGTGCGGAGAGAAAACCGGCAGGCGCGGGAGCAGAAAGAGTCCGAGTCGAAGAGGAGACATGAGAAAAGCGCAGCCGCCGTGAGGGGCGGCGGAGAGGCTACTATCACAAACATTAGAACCGGCGGGGAGGCTCTTGCGAGCGAGAGTAGCGCCAATTCGCGGTTGACGTTCGGAGATTGGGCTTCTGGCGCAGGCGCGGCCAGCAGCAGCCCTGGCGATCCGAAGGCGCGGCTGGTGCAGGCTTCGCGGAAGGCGGAGAGCGGCGCAGGTTGCAACGGGGCGTTGCGGAAGGGCGGGGGGGCAGCAGTATGCGCGGGATTTGTTCCCACGATGATGTGCGTGAATGAAGGGGCGAGGGGCGGGGGGCGTGGGGCGCGGGAGCGTGAGCCAGGTGGGGAGGGGGGTGGAGCGGTTGAGTCAGGTACGGGGGGCGGTAATGATGACACAGAGGCTTCTCTTAGCTTCCATGTGCGCGGGGACGGAGGCGGGGATGAGCAGGCAGAAGGGGCCGACGACGGCCAGGCGGAGGTGGTAAGCCGCGGCGTGGAAGTGGAGGAGTTGGGCGGGCCGGGGTGGACGCACCTGGCCAGGGCTGCACTGGAGCCGTGGGAGGTGCGCGAGAGCGTGGGCGCTGTGGGCGCCGTGGGCGCTGTAGGGGCTGTAGGCACTGTAGGCGCTGTAGGCGGGTGCAGCTATAGCGGGGATGGAGTGGGAGGTGTGGGAGGTTGCGGCGATGGTGGGGAGGCCGTGCTGGTGTACGTCCCACACGTCAACCCGTGCCCACAACCACGGACAGTACCCATAACAGCAGCACTGCAACACAACGCTGCTCCTCATGGTGGTTCAAGCGAGCTTGCAGAAACGACAGCAGCAACAGCGACAGGTGGAGGGACATCAACAACAAGAGGAACAGGAATTGCAGTAGGAGACGCAGCAGCAAGCACTGCAGCAAGAGCCCCAGTGACAGCACCATCGTCACCGTCAGCACCGGCAGCGGCACGGCGGGCTGTACCTCGAACATACTCGACTGGAAGAATCCAGCGTCAGATGTCAGGTTATGTTGCATCGCCCCAGCGGGTTTTCAATCGTCTGCCCGAGGACATCTGGCCCAGATTGAATCACGGTCTTGAGAAGTGGAGGAGTGGGAGTGTGGGTGGGAATGAGAGGGATAGAAGGAGTGAGGATGGGGGAGCTTGTGGTTGTTGCAATAGTGAGAATGGATGTGAACGTGTGGGAGCAGGGAAGGGGGCAGAGATGCGAGAAGCAGCAGAGGAGGGGTGCAGAGCAGAGAAAGGAGAGAACAGCAGTGGTAGGCTTGACGGCAGCGCTGGTGCTAACAGTTTGGGTGAAGAAGGTAATGGCCATGAGAAGCAGGCACAACGGGTGTCATCGATGGCGTCACTGCCATCGATACCAACAATGCCCAGTCCCCGCACTGCGTCTTCTGTCATACGCAATGCTCGGCGCATAACAGCTCCTGCACTGGCTTACGAGCGAAGCTTTCTAACCGCGACACACGGCAAGGGGACAACCTAGCTTGCAGGTAAATATATATGGAGTACCTCGTGTGAAAAGGTGTTCATTTTGGTGGTACGTAAGAGAAATCATAAATGGTGGTAGGCGCTTCTTGCAGGAGCCATGTAGTGTACTAGTGTCTAGCCATATATTAGTAATTAAGTTGCTATTATGTATGCTATAATATTGCGCTAACAGTTTTCCTGCTCCTATAAGTATATTGATTAATTTGTACATTCACTTCATGGGTAGAATGTAAGATGGCTTGCATTCTACAATGCCAATAATAACACTGGTATCGAAGTTCAGCTTCACTTCAGTGACATATCTTGCAGGACGGTACAGCACTGCCTTGCCGTGTACGGACCTCGCATCTGAAGAATGGAGGTCCGACTTTCAACTGCAGGCATGGCACTCTAGTGGTATAACATCTAGGTAGCATAGAAACTATCACTCAAAGAGGCGACACAATCTAGATGTTTCGTAGTTAGGCCGGCTTATTGAATCGTGAAGCCTTGTGTTTCTGACGCGCGCCATGGCAGCGCAGTTAGCGCGGCTAGCTAGTCGGAAACGGGTGACGTTGGAAGAGAAGGAGCAGCATCAGTGGGTGGTCGACGAGGCGACGCTTTCGTCAGTCATCGCTAATGGCGAAGATGTCGGACCTATTATTCGCCCAGCATTTGAAATGGGGAAACCCGAAGCGCTTCTTCACCAGGTTAGCGACGTGTCCATAATTAGGTTTCCGACGCTGTTCGTTATAGGTCTTGTTACTTGATACCTGAGTTTTCTTTCAGGTCGTCTGAACGTTCATCGCCAGTCTTACTAATTCCTCTTTAAGGCACGCATTCCTTTTGGCGTCCCTCTTTATTCGTTGCTCGACGTCAATGTAACTTTCCAAGGCAACGCCGTGATGCAACAAACGTGAAAGGTTCGAGACATGAAGTCAAGCAAGACTTAAAGTGGCATTGACACTCTTGTTTTTTATTTCGGAACCTTTAACACAAGCCCGAGAGACCTGCTCGATGTCTTAAGGAGCAAGATGTTAGACGTTGGGCTATGCGATATGCACAGTGGGTGAAATACTTACAGCCTAACTCAACTTTCAACCCTTTTTCGCCTCGCTCCCTGGCAGCTTCGCACGTTTGTGAAGAAGAAGGAGGTGGAGATCGAGGAGCTCTGCAAGCAGCACTACGAGGAGTTCATCCACGCCGTCGACGAGCTCAGGTGCAATCTACGCCGTTGATGAGCTCAGGTGCAATCTGACGCCGTTGATGAGCTCAGGTGCAATCTGACGCCGTTGATGAGCTCAGGTGCAATCTGACGCCGTTGACAAGCTCAGGTTGACGAGCCCAGGTGGAATCCGACGCCTGAATCTATAGGTGTTTCGCGCGGCGCAAGGAGCATAGCGCGGCAGTTGGTTTGTTGCACAAAATTGTCTGTTTATCAAGTCCGAGTTGGTAGACTATGGAACTCTGAGGTAGGAGGTTAAGAAAGTGGGAAGGGAGAAGCATGCTGCTGCACAAACTAATCAAAGAGCGACTCGCCGCTCTTCTGTTTCTTCTTCCTCCCTCCCCTCTCTCCGACCACAGATACGTGCTGGTGGATGCGGACGAGTTGAAGCATGGGCTGGCGATGCAGAACACTGAGATGCAGGAGGTGGGCAGCGGGCTGCTGCACAAGCTGGACGAGCTCATTCAGCACAACGCCATCAAGACCAACCTCGCCTCCGCGCTGCAGCTGCTCAAGAAGTGCAAGACCGTCGTCGACCTCTGCGCTAAGGCACGTCCACGTGGCATCCTGGGCCTAAGGAGATGGGTGAAGGGATGAGTGGGTGATGGATGGATAAAGGGGGGGTGAACAGGTGAATAAGCTGGTGTTTTGATGGGTGTATGAGCAGGTGAATGAATGTTTCCGTTTCCAGTGAATTCCAAGTAACGTCGTGCAACTTATTCCCTCTTTCCCTGCCCTCTCCCCTCCCCTCCCGTCCCCTCCCTTCCCCTCCCCTTCCGTCGTTCTTCTTGCTTTCCCTCCTTGCCTACCTCACCCTCTCAGGTGAACGAGGCAATAGCAGCGGACAGCTACTACCAGGCTCTAAAGACGCTGGACGCTATTGAGAGAGACCACCTGCGCACCATCCCCTCCTCCGCTCTGCGCGCATGGGTGGAGAGGGGTATTCCGCGGTGCAGAGCACACATCGAGCGCAAGGTAGGGAGGGACGAATGGGTGAGATTTGAAGGGATTGCAGGGCTGGGTGGTGGATGGCCTTGGGTTGGTGGGAGGGCGTGTATGGATGAAGAGGGATTCTCTGTGGGTTGCGTCATTATGTTTCTGTCTTCCCACAGACCCCATCCCCTCTTTCTCCCTATCCTTCCTCATTCCCTCACCTAACCCACGATTTACCCCTCCATTCCCTGTCTCTGCCTTGCTAAGTCCCCTCTATACGAACACCTTCTCTCCCCTTTCCATCCCCCAACCTCCCCTCCTCTCGTCCTCCCTCGCCATCCCCTCCCCCCCCTTCCCTTCCCCCCCTCCGTGCTCTCCACAGGTGAACCAGGAGTTCAACGAGTGGATGGTGCAGATCCGCGAAACGAGCCAGGAGATCGGCCGGCAGGCGATAGGACAGGCGTTCAGCGCGAGGCAGAGGGAAGTTGAGCTCGGAGACAGGCAGAGGCAGGCCGAGGAACAGGTGGGTGCCTCGTTGGACTTTGGAGGTTGTTGATGTTCTGATTATGAGCTACAGTATTGCTCGTTTCACTATCACATGCTGTATTGGTGCACTGTGCACACTGTGCACGTGCGATGCACCCGCTCATGAGATTCACTAGTTCTTAACTGCACTTTCTGCAGCAAAGCTCGTGGAGAGGAGAGCATTCATGCCCCACTCTATTCCCCTTCCCTACCCTCCTGAACCTTCCTCTTCTCTTCGCCGCACCGCCAGTCGCGGTCAGGAGCGAGGGCAGTGGCATACATGCTGGAAGTGGAGGACGCGCTGATGCTCTGAAGTCACACCTGTCTTGAGATGAGAAAGTTGTTGCTCCCTTTCCTCTTCCCCATTTCCCTCCCCCACTTCCCCGCTGTTCCCCCTCCACCACACCACCAGACGCGGTCAGGGGCGAGGGCAGTGGCGTACATGCTGGAAGTGGAAGACGCGGAGGAGGACGCGTCAATGCTCAAGTTCAACCTGACGCCCATCTACCGTGCGCACTACATAAACACGTGTCTGGGCATCCAGGACCAGTTCCGCGACTACTATTACGACAACCGCAAGCTTCAGCTCAATACTGATTTGCAGTTCACGCCAGGGCAGGTGGGTGCACGGGTGGGTGGGTTTCTGTGCGCATATGTGTGTGTGTGTGTGTGTATGTGTGTGCGGCTGGGTGGGTGGGTGAGTGTATGTGTGCTGGTATGGGCGTGTCTGGGCATCCAGGACCAGTTCCGCGACTACTACTACGACAACCGCAAGCTGCAGCTTAATACTGATCTACAGTTCACGCCAGGGCAGGTGGGTGGGTGGGTGGGTGGGTGGGTGGGTGGGTGGGTGGGTGGGTGGGTGGGTGGGTGGGTGGGTGGGTGGGTGGGTGGGTGGGTGTGGCTAGGTGGATAGGCTTCTGTGCATGTGTGTCGCATGGCGGATGGGTATATGTATGCTGGTGTGGGCGTGCATGTGCGTCCCCCCTCCCTCCCCACTTCCCATCCACCCTCCACCACCACCCCGACCCCTTCCTCCCCTCCCTTGCTGGTATATCGCCCTTGTTCCCCTCATCTCCCTCCTCATGATACCACTCTCACTCCCACTCCCTCCCATCCCATGCCCCCATCCCATCTGCTGCCTGTACCCCAGTCGTTCAACGACTACTGCTCGCAGGTGGCGGGGTTCTTCATAGTGGAGGACCGGATCATGCGCACTGCTGGGGGGGTCATCAAACCCGCTCAGGTGGGTTGAGGCGAGGCCATGGGGATGCAGCACTGGCAGGGGGGGGGGGGGGGGGGGGGGGGGGGGGGGGGAGAGAAGATCTAGAGGGAGTAGAGTGTGGCGGGGTTCTTCATTGTGGAGGACCGGATCATGCGCACTGCTGGTGGGGTCATCAAACCCGCTCAGGTGGGCAGCACTGCTGGGGTAAAAGGAAGGGGGGGGGGGGGGGGAAGAGAGAGAATAAATCAGTGGGGACACTGGGTGGGGGGGGTGGAGAAGGGGGGGGATGGGGGGTTTTTCATTGTGGAGGACCAAGTCATGCGCATTGCTGGAGTAGTCATCAAACCCGCTCAAGTGGGAAGAGGCGAGGGCATGGAGTGTGGAAAGGCAAGGACGTGGTGGGATGGGTGTATGAAAGGGGACGTGGTGGGATGGGTGTATGAAAGGGGACGTGGTGGGATGGGTGTATGAAAGGGGACGTGGTGGGATGGGTGTATGAAAGGGGACGTGGTGGGATGGGTGTATGAAAGGGGACGTGGTGGGATGGGTGTATGAAAGGGGACGTTTGGGATGGGTGTATGAAAGGGGACGTTGTGGATGGGTGTATGAAAAGGGACGTTGTGGATGGGTGTATGAAAAGGGACGTTGTGGATGGGTGTATGAAAAGGGACGTTGTGGATGGGTGTATGAAAAGGGACGTTGTGGATGGGTGTATGAAAAGGGACGTTGTGGATGGGTGTATGAAAGGGGACGTGGTGGGATGGGTGTATGAAAGGGGACGTGGTGGGATGGGTGTATGAAAGGGGACGTTGAAAGGAATGTGTGCTGCAAGGGGATGCGATTGTGTAGGAAAATCTTGAGCGACAGGTTCATGCACAGTCAGGCTGACTTTTCTCCTGCGGTCATCTTGGTTTGAGGCGTATGATTGCCATAGTGTATCACCGCACCAAACCATGAACCATCAATCACCTCCTGCAGGTGGACGTGCTGTGGGAGACGGCCATAGCGCGCATGCGCAGTGTGATGGAGGAGCAGTTTGCATCCATGTCATCGGCCGACCACATGCTCATGGTCAAGGAAGACATCTCGCTCTTTGCTGCCGCGCTGCGCCGATACGGCTTCCAGGTCAGCCAGCAGAAGCCCTAAGTAAAGCCCGCTTTCACTGGGCCACCTCAACATGCACTCGGAAAACCCCTGCCCTCCCCAATTCCCGCTCGGCTGCGCCTCCCGACAAAAGCTGACGGTTTTCGCTGTTTGCCTTTTCTAATTCGGCTCGTAATAATCTGTACTCGTTACAGGTGTCTCCGCTATTGGACGTGCTGGCATCCATGCGAGACAAGTACCACGAGCTGCTGCTGGAGGAGGCGCGGCGGCAGGTGAACGACTCGATAGCCAACGATAAGCTGGAGCAGATGGTGATGCGCAAGGAGTATGAGTACAGCATGAACGTGCTCGCCTTCCATATTCAGGTGCGTGTGCGTTGGTGTGTGGGTGTGTGTGCCTGTGGTCGTGGGTGCTTGTACAGCACATGAGTTCGTCAAATGCATGGATCAGTGACAAGCTGGAGCAGATGGTGATGCGCAAGGAGTATGAGTACAGCATGAACGTGCTCGCCTTCCATATTCAGGTCTGTGTGTGTGTACATGTGTTTGTGTGTGCGCATGTGTTAATGTGTGCGCAAATTCAATCATCTATCTGTGCATATGTTCTTCTGTGTCTCTATCTTCCATTTGGCTCTTCCAATCTTCCTCCCACCTCCCACCTCCCACCTCCCACCTCCCACCTCCCCCCCAATTTTCGCCAGAGCACGGACATCATGCCAGCCTTCCCCTGGATTGCGCCCTTCTCAGCGTCAGTGCCTGAGATCTGCCGCATAGTGCGCATATTCATTGACAGCTCCGTGTCCTTCCTCAAGCACACGGGCCACATGGACCAGTACGACCTCGTGCGCCGCTACCTCGATCGCCTGCTCACCACTGTCGTGAACGAGGCGCTGCTGCGGCTCATTGGCAACCCCACACTGCAAGTTTCACACGCCATGCAGGTGAGAGCTGCCATGTTGTGTGTGGAGTCAACTCAAAAACATACCAGTGACTCATAGCCCACGGGCCACGTGGACTAGCAGTACGACCTCGTCCGCCGCTACCTGGATCGGCCACATGGACCAGCAGTACGACCTCGTCCGCCGCTACCTGGATCGGCCACATGGACCAGCAGTACGACCTCGTCCGCCGCTACCTGGTTCGGCCACATGGACCAGTCGACCAGTACCACCTCGTCAGGCGCTACCTGGATCGGCTGCTCACGACTGTCGTCAACGGGGCGCTGCTGCGGCTCATTGACAACCCCACGCTGCAAGTGTCCCACGCCATGCAGGTGGGGGGGCAATGCATCGCGGCCACGAGCTTTTTGTTTTTTTTTGCAGAGCGAGCATGCATGCAGCTCATTCATTTGTCATGCCCTCTTATCAGCTTAACTGTGTTCCGCCCCTTTCTCGGCGGCGAACATGACAGTGATGGAGCGAGCATGCGCATTCTTCATATGACATTCCCTTCCCCCCCTCCCTCTTTCTGACTCTCTCCCCCCTTTCCCTGGCGTATCTCCCCTCGCCACCACCAGGTAGCGGCTAACATGACAGTGATGGACCCAGCATGTGCAACCTTAAAATGGCATTCCCTCCCTCCTGCCCCCGCCATCTCTCTCCCCTCTTTCCCACTCGGCGTTCTTGCCACCACCAGGTAGCTGCGAATATGACAGTGATGGAGCGAGCATGTGCATTCTTCGCAGAGCACGCAGCCAAGTCATGCGGCATTCCCTCCCGCCTTGTGGACGGCGCGCACGGCACGCTGGCCGCCAGGAACACCCTCAGGCAGTCACAGGCGGGGGCATACGACGCCATGCTGCGCATCATGAATGAGAAGATTGACGACATGATGTCGCCTGCAGAGCAAATTCCATGGAATCCCATGGAACCGCCTGGGGTACGTATGTGTGAACATTAAGACGAGTTATGAGTTGACTCAGAAAAAGTCTTAGGCAGCCTCAGGCAGTCGCAGGCGAGGGTATACGATGCCATGCTGCGCATCATGAATGAGAAGATCGATGACATGATGACACCACCTGAGCAGATTCCCCGGAATCCCATGGAACTGCCTGGGCTAAGTAAGTGTGAACATCGAGACGAGTTTTGAGTTGACTCGGAAACACCCTCAGGCAGTTGCAGGCTGCCGTATTTTCTTGCCACCTCCCTTCACCCTCGGCTTCCCATCTCTTCCCTCCCGACGCCTGGCCTTCGTTTCTCTTCTGGTTTCTCCCTTCTCTCCTGTTGGACTGTGTCGGTGCATGTGAGAGCAGCTGGTGAACGAGTATCTCACGGACCTCTGCATCTACCTGGAGACCATGATGGAGACAGCCAGGCAGCTGCTTCCCCTCGATGCCTTCCAGCGGGTAACACACCTTTCACTTCTTCCCTCCTGAACTGCCTGCAACTGCTTGCTGCTGCAGATTTAGTTTGTTCCCATCCCAGTCAGCTGCCCGCTTTTCCTATCCATCACCTTGGTACCGAATGCCACGTACCTGTCATTGCCCGTTGTCGCAGGTCAGCGGAGGCATGATGCGCCACATCAGCAACGTCCTAGTCAGCCTGCTGTGCGGCTCTGCCGTGCCGCGGTTCAACCTGTACGCCATCCAGGGCGTGGACAACGACCTGCGTGTCATTGAGGGTTTCGCCGACCAGGAGGATGAGAAGAGCGGTGTGATGAAGGACAATGGCGAGGCTGTGCCTCTCAAGTCACACCTGGCAGAGGCACGGCAGCTCATCAACCTCATTCTCAGTAACAACCCGGAGCATTATGCGACCAAGTCTCACCGGGAGAAGAATTACGGGGCGCTGGCGCCGACTAAAGTGCTCATTGTCTGCGATAAGTATCGGGTACGTTTGTTCTGGCTCATAGAGGCATGTAAGGCTTCATTTCTACCTGTTTTTTCCTTCAACTGTCAAGCTAGAACGGAAGTGTCAACTTACACCTCTGCTGCTTGTTGTGATGACAGGATGTGGGGGAGGCTGCAGTTGGTTTGTTTGGCACTCGCAATTCAAAGCAGGTAAACAAGAAAAAGGGACTAGATGCTCTGGCTCGGAGGCTACGGGAGGATATCGCAAATTCAGCCTGAGTTATTATAAAGAATCGGTTGCCTAATTTGTGCTTGCAAAATTACTTGGCTATCCAGCCAAACATCAGTACAACCAAGCTATTATGCAACTGAGTGAGTAAAACCGTAAGCTGTATAATAAATCCAACGAGCTGAGCGAAACACTATCTCGTCCATGTACAGAAATGGGATCATATCGTCGAGCAATTTGAATTCTGGCGGGAAGTCTTGCAGGAACTTTGAACGGGAGGTGTCGTGTCGAGGTCCAGACCAGACAGTACAGTCGCCGCACGTTGAGTTGTTCTCCCCACCCCACGGTCCAGGCTACTGTAGCTTTTCCCACAAATTCCATGAGGGTCATTTGTGTTGAGAGTTTTTTTGTTTCCACGTCAATGATCTCCACTGGACACAGCGTTTTAGTGCCAACAGTTTCTTCACTGACCAAGGCTCTCTCTCAAACCGTGCGTGAGCGAACTTGTCAACGGGCACCAGAAAGTCTGGGAAAAGATCTTGCAGGGCTTGCCGCAATTGCCAGCCAGCAAACCCACTGGGTCCGAAACCCGACAAGCGCACAGTTGTCTGCAACTGCGTGCCGATGATTCCAGATTTCGGCCCTTGCCAACTTGCCATGCCAAACAGTCCCCTCGCCAATTCACCGTCGCCCTGCGTCAGAAAATTTGGCCCAAAACAGACAACGCAAGCTACTGTTGTCCTGACCAATTTTCAAAAATCGTCGTCTTCAGCTCGTTGGCTGGCTGGTTGACGAGAGGAAGACGTTTCGTGTCAGAAACAGAAGCAGAAGCATCAACCTCTCGCCCACGACGCGGAGCGGAGAAGCCCGTTGGTCGCATCGCGGAAAGGGCTGCCCCTGCCTTCTGGTCAGTGAAGTAAATCTCACCTTGCATTACCGCTTTATAAACTTCCAAAACTAGTCCCACCGTGCACAGACTCCCCATTTTTGAAATCAGCCAGCCTTTTCCCGCGCGTTGATTTCAAAAATGTGATGGGGATTCGAATTTCAGCTTCTTCAATCTCGACTCGACTCGAGGCGGCCTTGATTACCTGTTTCCGAGCTCACCATCTGTCGTGCCACCATTATTTGGCATGCCACCGCCTGTATGATGATGAGTGGAGATTGGCACCCTGGAGGTCCACCCCGAAACTGATGTTGAGTCGAAGTCACAGAAGCGACCACTTGTTGTTGTTGTTGTTGTTGTTGTTGCACCTGACTGGCCTCGTGTACACGTAACTGCCTTGGTTCCCCCGTGCAGTACTGTACAGTTTTCTTCTGGCGGTTTCGCCTGTTTAGATTAGCAAGCTCGCCCACCCTCGGGGTGAATGCGTAGCGAATGTGGGAGTTTCCTGGACTGGGGGCGGGTTCTAGGATTTCTTTTAGGGTCCAACTAAGTTAGTGTTGTTTTCAATTTCAACGTCATTTCCACCCATGATAGTCAGGCGAGACTGGAATGGACACTCCGCCTACCGTTGCTGCTGCGCCTGGTTCGAACCAGCAATTCTTGCTCCGTCATCCACGCGTAATCCATCGTTTTTCATCCACACTCGTAGACAAAACCGCGGCCTTAGTAGTGTAGTTAGGTACCTCGCCGGCAAGAAGCTTGGACGAATCAGCAATAGGTTCCACGTTCTGTTTACAACACTCACTAGAAATAGTTAGCCGTAGGAAGACTTCCTGGTGCCGGAGAGCTTAGCGCTTCGTGAAAAGGGGTCTAATAGTTAGGAGCACGGCGGCAAATAGAAGCGCGGTATGGAAGCTCTTCAGAAGCTGCAGGTAAAAATAACTTTTGCTGTCAGGGGAAATTGACATCATCTTATATCGGACGATTTTGATCGAATAAATTGGAAACGGAGGAGTATTTCAGACCGTCTCTGATCATGACGTCATGACTTTTGAGCGGCTGAGTTATCCACGTGACACTGGAAGATAAGATTAAAGAAAAAAAAAAAAACAAACAAACAAAAAAACAAAAACAAAAACAACATTGTTTTTTCTTTCTTTTGAGTCGGTGCCTTGGCTTTTCTTTCCCTGACAGCGACGATTCAGTTTAAACCTCTATTTTCTTACACCTACTATTCACTTGTCGAACTCCCCCCAACAGGGTATTCTTGCGCGACGGCCTCAAGGCATCGGTGGAGAATCGCACGATCGCCAGCGACGACGGAGTCTGCGACGAACGGAGAGCGATCGCCGTGACGATCTAGATTATGCTACCGCCGCCACCGCCCCGCCAAGTCTCTCTAACGAGTTCACTAACGCTGCTACTGGCTCTAGCCTCGAAACGACTAACGACTACCACACGACGGTCGCGCCTTCCCCCGTTATTAGTAGCACCGGCACAGCCTTAGAGAAACTCTCTAGAGTCACCTTGGGATCGCCGATTTGGAATAAGCTTCGACGAGAGCGTGTGTCTAAACCAGAGCGTGCTACCCCCGTAATTCGTCCGCAATCGGCGCCGGCATCCCCGGCGAGGGGCCACACCGTCACTTGCCGCGGTCCGCCTAGCCACCGCGCGAAGGAGCATCAGCAGCAGCAGCAGCAGCAGCAGCAGCAGCACAAGAAGCAGCAACAACAACAATTTTCGCAGCGTCCCCTTTCCCCGTTTTTCGGGCGATCTTGCTCGTCGCGATGTTCGCCGCGCTTTCCGCCGAACTGCGGCGGAAGCGGAAGCCCGCGCACTCCGCGCTACCGCCGATACCTGTGCGGCGTGCCGTGCGTCGATGACGTGGATTGGGGCCGGGATGTCATGTTCCCGGACGATGATGACGTGGCTGATGACAGGGACGCGCGAGATCAGATGTGTAACACAGACGGTGGCGAAAGTCGCGAGCTTTTCGCGGAAGTTACACGACAGGCACTAGGAGCCGAAAACAGCCTAGGCGAGGAAAAAGCGGCCGATGGAGGGCGAAACGCGATATCACTAGGAACGGAAAGATCTTTTGCGGGGCGGAACGCACAGACAAGTCCAGACAGGTCACAGATACCGATGCTACACAGAAACGATGTTTCTTATAGAGGAGTCGAAGCGCCTAGAGAGGCTATTCATGGTTCGCTGAGCCGGCGCGAGGGGCGGGGAACGCGGGGAGCAAGGAGGGCGCGGAGCCTTCCGCCGAACTGCAGCGGTCTGCTTGCGGAGGAGGAAGGGGACTCCGCGGAGTCTGCGCGGGCGGCGGAAATTGTCGCCGCAGGGGGATTAGCGCGAAGGGCGGAATGCGGCGGAGGATCTAGCGGGATTAGTCCGCGCACTTGCCGGTCGCAGAGTCCGCGTGGGAGGCGGAAAGGCGGAAGGGCTTGCGGCGGCCACGCGACGATGTTCGGCGACGAAAACGACTCCTCTGCGACTGCGGGGCGGAGCTGGTGGACCGCCGATGGCGCCCCCGCGGCGGATGCGGCGTCAATCACGGCGAGCGACGCGGACAGCGGAGTATCCTCCGTGCGTCTTCGCAATCAACACGACGGCGCGAGATCGCCATGGAATGCGGCGCGGGGCGCGCGCTGGTGGACGTGGAACGGCGGCAATCGCGGAGTTTGGACGGCAACGGACGGCTGCGCGATTCCGCGGCCGGCAGGACGGCAGGAGGAGACGGCAACTCCAGTCGTTCGGCAGCATTTTCTAAACGGCCGGCGGCGGCTTTAGCAACTGTAGAAGCCGACGCGGCGCTTGAGGGGAAGGCGGCGGCGGCGAGAGCGGGGAACGGCGCAACTGAGGGAGGCGGAGCAAGTGCGGGGGAGGGCGCATGTGGGCGGGAGGGCGCAAGTGGGGGAGCTGGCGCAAGTGCGGCAACAAGAGATTCAGAAGCGAACGTGCCGGGTGACGTGGCAGCAAGTGCGCAAGCGGCGGAGGCGGAAGGGGGAGTGCGATCAGAGCACACGGGGAAGGCGGAAGGCGCCGAAGGTGGGGAAAGCGGTGGCGGAGAGCGCGCAGAGGAGACCCGCGGAAGAGATGTCAGACAGGGGATAGGCCGACGCCGAAAGGGGATAGGCGCAAGAGGGTTTGGGGGAATCACGGTTGGCGGAGGAGCAGCAGAGGCGAGCGGTGGGGAGGTATGCAGCATGGTTGAACTATGGAACCCGTTTTATAACGATGATGTTATTAGCATCAATTGCAGCAGCAGCAGCAGTGAATCAGAGGAGGGTAGTGGCGACGACAAGGAGAGGAAGGGGACGGGGACGAGGGAGAAAAGGAGCAAGAGGGGGAAGAGGGGGAAGAGGGGGAGGAGGAAGGTAGGCGATGGGAGCAGGGAGAAAAAGAACGAGGAGTGTTACGGTGGTATGGACGAACGGGAGGGATTTCTGAGTCGACTCAAAAATCGGAAGGAAGGCGATGGGAGCAGGGAGAAGGAGAACGAGGAATGTTACGGTGGTATGGGCGAACGGGAGGGCGGAGAGGAGGGGGAGGAAGAAGGGGAGGGCGCGGAGGGATTGGTGAAGAGCGGGAGCAGTGGTCAGTGGCATTTGAGTCGACTCAAAGGTCACCTGGAGGGCGAGGATGGGTTGGTGAAGAGCGGGAGTAGTGGTCAGTGGCACCGGCAATGGTGGGTCCCTACTGATGCCCTCACCAGCGACAGCACCAGCAGCAGCGGTAGCAGCAGTGACGGTGGCGGGAACGGTGGTAGCAGCACTGGCAGCACGATCCCCCAGAGCGGCAGTGACAGCAGTGGCACTAGCGGCGTTGCAGCAGCTGCTGCTGGTGCGGGTGCCAGCAGCAGCGGATGCAGTGGCAGCAGCAGTAGCGGCAGCAGAAGCAGCGAAGATAGCTGCCAGATTTCAGTGCACACGGATGGTGATGATGCTGACCAAGCTACAGCGACTGCCGCTGCCCCCGCCACCGACGGCGATGGCACTCCTGCTGCTGCTTGTGGGGGTAGTGGTGGCGCTGGTGCTGCTACAGCTGCTGCTGCTAGTGGTGCTGGTGGTGCTGCTGCTTCTGCTGCCGTGGCCATTGCTGCTGCTAGCAGTGCTGCTGCTGCTGCTGCTGCTGCTGCTGCTGCTGCTGCTGCTGCTGCTGCTGCTGCGGAACAGCCTGAAGCCCAACTGCATGCCACAGCGCCGGACTACTTCCCATTCGACGGCTTCTTCCAGCCCCGATTCGACCAGCTCTCCTCCACCGACTCGTCGTGCTCCCCTGACCTCGTCTTCTCCTTCCACCCCCCCAACCCCACCACTCACTCCCTCCCCTCCTCCCCCCTCGATCCCTCCTCTTTCCTGGACTGCACGCCGTCTCTCTGTGCTCCTCCACCCTTTCTCACTCTCTCGTCTGAGAAGAGAGGGAGTGGTGGTGAGGGGGAGGTGGGTGCAGGGGGACTGTCAGCTATAGAGGAAGGTAAGGAGGGCATTGAGGTGGGTGCAGCTGCAGCTGCTGCTGCTGCTGTAGATGCTGCGGATACTTGTAACGCTGCTGTGACTCGCAGCACTCTTGGTGCTGCTACTGCACGTGAGGATGAAAGTGCTGCTGCTGCTGCTGCCGGTAGCGGCAGCGACAGCGACTCGTTTTTGAGCGACCAGTTTCACCGCGGAGTGAGGCTGGAAGACGTGCTGCGGAAATGGGACCTGGGCGCGGCTATTCATGACGATGCCCAAAGCAAAGAAAGTATGCTAAGTAAGGTCGCTGCCATGTGCACAGGCACAGGCACAGGCACAGGCACAGGCACAGCTACTGGAACAAATCAAGACGAGCCCTTCGGGCCTGGCATGACTGTTGGCAATAGCGGCTCTTCCACCGACTCTCCCGCTCGCCCTCCCAAGCCCTCCCCTCCGACTGCTATCAATACCAAGACGAACAACCCCAGCAACACGCTGCCTACTGCCGCTGCTGCTACCACCAGCACCAGCACTAGCACTGCCATTGCCACTGCCACTACCACTGCCACTACCTCTGCCACTACCACTGCCACTACCACTGCCACTACCACTGCCAATACCACTACCGCCACCACCACCAGTAGCATCAACCCTCGCCGTCGCCTTGCCTCAGCTGTGATCCGGGGAGCCAATCATAAGCACTCGCACTCGCAACTGCCTTACTCCTCCTCTCCCTCGTCCACTGGTATCGACTCCTCCCTGTCACCCGCTGCCACCCCTCCCCGGACCATCCTCGGCCGATCCGCATCATTGGGCTCGGCCGGAGGTTCGGCGCGGTTGGGAGTAAGAGGAGGGGTGAGCACAGCTGATGCTCTTGCTGCGGCTGCATCTGCTGCTGCTGCTGCAGTTGCTGCTGCTGCTGCTGCTGCTGCAGTTTTGGGTGGTGGGGGCAGTATGACGGATAACGTTGGGACATCTGCTGCCACTTTTGATGCTGCAGGGCAATTAAGCACCACCTGCGACACAATCAGTGTGAGTCAAAGTGGGGTTGAGGTTGCATATCCTGAGCCAGTGGCAGCAGTGATAGGAGAGAAAGCAGGGATTGCTGACAGTAACAGCATAAGCGGAAGCAACAACATAGGCGGCAGTAGCAGCAGCAGCAGCATTGGTGGGAGCAGTGTGAGCAATGGCTGCAGTGTCAACGGTCATACTGGCAGCAGAAGCATCGGCAGCAGCAGCAGCAGCAGCAGGGTTCTTGGGGAATTGCGGGAGTGCAGGAGCAGTGGGCTGATTCGGGTGCTGCTGGCTCAGAGTGCTACCAGGAAAGGCGGGGACGGCATGCGTCAGATGGAGAAAAGAGGCAACGTGTTACAGAATGTGCAGCAGCAGCAGCCGCAACCGCAGCAGCAGCAGAAGCAGCAGGAGAGGCAGGAGAGGCAAGATGGTCGGCTTGGAAGGCTAGAGGAGGCGGAGGCAGAACAGCCTATTGTCAAGAACATGCAGAAGAAGACAGAAAAGGAGATGCCCAGGAAACGGCGTCGGAATGGGGAGCGAGACGAAGAGGAAAAGGTGAAGGGTGCGAGGAGGCGCAGGAAGGAGTTCAGGCGCTGTCTAGGAGTGAAGAGGAAGGGTGTGAGGGTGGTGGTAGGGCCAAGACGGCTAGAGCTGCTCAAGAAATGGTTATTGGAAGTGATTGCAGACGCGCAGGGGAAAAATGCAGTGATGCTAGGAGGGGCTACGTGATAAATTGAGGATTGTTGTGGGTCATAGGTGAGGGTTTGATTAACTGCAGGTTTTTGTCACTAACCCACTAGGGCGTTTTGCATAACATAACCCTTTCCTCTTACATAATTCTACTGGTAGCATGTTTCATAAATGCTTATTGCTCAAGAGTCGGCCTTGGATAGAAAGCGTTACGGGGAATTTTCGTGCGACATTGAACGGGGCCAAGTGGCATTCAGCTGAAGCGATTTTCGCCACGCAAATCCGTTGGTGCGAAGAGCGCATCTACTGGCTGGCGATTTACCTTGGGTGAAGTTGGTGCTGATCCTTTCTGTCGTCCGTCATTTCGTGAAGCTCGCTGACGGTTCCGCGATGTCTGTCGCAAGCTCGTTTTTGTTCGTAGCCTGTGTCATCGCATCTCTTGTTTCCTCGGCATTCTCGGAGATCGTGCGACGACCGATTGTGCTCGCGAGCCAATCTATCGACACTCGCTTGCTGGTCTGCGACCTCGGAAACAGCGAAATCTGGTAAGCGAAGTGCCTTTGTTGGGAGATTGTGCGACAATGAGAAATTCAAAATTTCGCGGCCTTTTTCCCTCTTGTCACCGCCCTTATCCTACTGCTTGCTTGAGGTGAAATTGGTAAAATCCAGGAATTCATCATGGAGATAGTTTTTCTGGGGAGAAGGCAGCAGCGACCTCACACCATTCTCACTGACGAATTTGTCTCCTGTTCCCCAATTTCAGCTCACATAAGCTTCCGAGGACCGCGTTGCTCGGTTTTTCTGGCTGCGAAAATGGCGAACCGGAATCGTCGGTCGAGGATGGGACTTCACGTTCTTCAGATCATCTTCGGAACAGAATCAGGGCAGACGGGGACCGGATACCACTCCGCTCGCCTGAATCTGTTCGTGCTCTTCGCGCGTTGCATGTTCTCGTTCAGTTTACCGACGAGGATTCACAGAGTAGCAGAGAGGATATCAGGGACTGGCTATTTAAGGACGTCCATGCAGTTGGCGGGCGAATCCTGAACTACGTACCGGTCGACTCGTATCTGGTAGTGCTTCCGTGTGTTAAGGCAGCTCATGCGCTTAGTCGGCTCTCCTACGTGTCATGGATCGGCCGTCTACGGGGAGAGTCGAAGTTATCGCCTGAATGGAATCCCATTTTAAGGTCAGTCACTGGTTCATTCCATCGTTTCTTCTACCTTCGCTCCCAGATTCAGACATCGGATTCATTGTCAATTGCTGCGCCTTTGATTATCATATTCTATCTTTCGTCGTCGCTTTTTTTGTGAAACGTTGTGGCGCTGAATCAAGCTGTTTCTTGCTTCAGGCACTACAAAACCGCGGATGACATCAAGGAGGAAAGCTCTATTTATGACATGATTGATGTGGACAAAGAAGGCCGACCACTGATCACTGTCGTGTTGCCAGATCAAGACCTTGTCGGCAACTCCAAAGCATACGCTTCCTTCATCCACAGCAGCCTGTGTGAAAAGTACGGCCACTTGCAACAACCAACCAACGGATCAGATTCAGTTGGCCTGCGGGATCTGACGGTTCCAATTTCTGCAGTGGACCAGTCGTCAGATTTTACCCATGCTGGAATGACACAACATGTCAATCAGCCGAAGAATCTTAATGGTCCCCGCACCCAGCTTCTCGAAGAGACATCTGACAGCTTGTATTGCTCTACCTTCAGTGTGTCGCTAGAAGGGATCAGCACCACCATCCACGACTCAAGGCATGATGAAATCAGTTCATCAGCAGATGACAGCATACCCGATAGCACCTTATCTGATACCACCAAAAGTCGTCATCATCATCATCAGCACCATGGCATCACAAGTCAAGGCCTGCTGGTTCTGGCAGCGCCAAAGCCCCTGCTGCCGGCCGTGCTGCGCTGGTTGCAGCAGCAGGGGTGGGTGCAGTGGATCGCCCCCCGGCCCCGCTCCCGCCTGCACAACCGGTGGGCCTCAGCTGTCACTCAAAGCGGCACCTCCATTGGCTTAGACGATGACCCGGGGTTCGGATCCCCAGGGTTAGGCAGCAGTGGAGGTAGTGAGCAGCAGAGGAGTGAGTTCGGGGCGGCACGGCCGATGTGGAGTGCGGGAATAACGGGATCCGGGCAGATTGTGGGGATCGGCGACAGTGGCATCGACATGCAGAGGTGGGAGTGAAGCATGCCCTTTTTGTCTTGCTGGGCTTCGTCCTCTTGCGCCGTTCTTGCTCTGTGCAAATTGCTGCTTCTCCCTCTTGTCGTTGCCTTTTCAGCCTCCTGGATAGCCTCAGCCACACCAGGAACCACTTTCACTCAGGCAAGCCTCCCTTCGTCTCCTGTGCCCCTCACCCCTCCAGCTGTTTCTTCCGGGATGACGCAGTCCCTCTACCAGGCCCGACTCGACTCACGGCAAGGTGATGCAGTATCGGGTGGTCAATGGCGACACCGTGGACGGGCTTGTGATGATCTTGAACGACCTCTTTTTTCCCCTCTCGTTCACTCCTCTCCTCACCCCTGCAGCTGCTTCTTCCGCGACGATGCCGTCCCCTTACCAGACCCCACGCACCGCAAGGTGGTGCAGTACCGGGTGGTCAACGGGGACACAGTGAACGAGCTGGGGCACGGCACCCACGTGGCCAGCTCCCCTTTCACTCAGACTAGCCTCCCTTCCTCTCCCGTGCCCCTCACCCCTGCAGCTGCTTCTTCCGCGACGATGCAGTGCCCCTGCCAGGCCCCACGCACCGCAAGGTGGTGCAGTACCGGGTGGTCAACGGCGACACAGTAGACGAGCTGGGGCACGGCACCCACGTGGCCGGCTCCGTCGCAGGCGCTTGCTCGCAGCAACAGCAATCACAACAACCGCAGCAGGGGCAGCAGGGCCAGCAGGGGCAGCAGGGGGTGAAGGGGCCGGAGAGTGTGGATCTGTACCCTGGCATGGCACCTGATGCACGCATTGCGTTTACTGACATGGGCGAGGGCGATGTGGGGTACATCATGCCACCTGGCGACCTGGGCAGTGGTTACTATGGGTGAGTGGAACACTGTCGAGGTCCGTATAGGGCTCGGGTGATCAGTTGATGTTTCATCTTCCACCGTAGAATGTGAAAAGTCCTCTGATTGGTCCAATTTGGCCTCACTTTGCTTGGCTTTCTGGTGGTGTGATTGAGAGTGCAGGCAGGCAATGAAGGCGGGGGCGTTGATCCACTCGGACTCATGGGCGTCAGGAGTGTTCGCATATGACTACATGGCACAGTCTGTCGACCGGTTCACCTTCAACAACCCTGTGAGTGGATAGCGGTAGCTGTGCCTGACATGTTGCAACCAGGAACAGGCAGGCAACTCTGAAGCAAAAAAAACAAACAAACAAAGCTCACTTCTCCAAGCCACACAACGCTCATGCATTTGTCCATGCTGTTCCATTTCCCCTGTTCCATGCTCTTCCTCTGTCCTATGGCAGAACTTCCTCCCAGTCGTCGCGGCAGGCAATATGGGCTCTGTGCACCGAGACAAAGGTACGTGTGCCATTAGAGCCGTCGTTCCCCGTCGTTGGAACTTGGAAGGGCGGCAGTGTTGAGGAGAAAATCGATTTTTGACTCTGCGCTGAAACTCGGAAACACATATGCATGGGACATTATAGTCGTCCCAATGATGAGATCAGAGATCTTTCCTCCCCCAACCCACCTCCGCTTTCCACCCCGCCCTGTCCCCCCAGTCTCCATCTCTTCACCTGCCCTCGCCAAGAACTGTCTCACCGTCGGTGCAACCCTCGGCAGTGTCGGCTCCTCCCCGCCCCTCCTCGCCACGCCCTTCAACCTCTCCCTCCTCGCGCCTTCCCCCTCTCTCCTCCCCTCCGACCGCGCCTGGTACCCCCTCCTCTCGCACGCATTTGGCGCCACCTTCCAGCCCGGTCTCTGGGAGGAGGGGGTGCCGTGGGGGCTGGTGAGAGGGGAGCCGAGGGATGGGTGTAGAGCGGTGCGGGACGGTAGTGGGAGCATGGGAGGGAGTGTGGCTGGGATGATCGTGCTGCTTGACGCGGGGAACTGCCTGTTTGCGGATAAGGTGGGTGCCACTTTGCTGATGCTCTTTCCTCTTGTATGACAGTTCAGCTGTAACTTGTCTGTTTTTCTGTGCCGAATTTTTGCCCTGTTGTATGCTGTAGTCATGATATGCTGTGGTCATGATATGCAGCTACTGCTCTGAGTCAGCATGAGGTTGTCTCAGACCAATTACGTACACATCATCCACATCCATCATCCACATCCATCACTTACTCACATCAAATGTACCGCGACTTTTTCTCCTTACAACGTGCCACACGCACCGTTTCAGTTCAGGAACGCCCAGGCAGCAGGCGCAGCAGCAGCAGTGATCGTGGCCAACGACACTCTCGGCTACTTCCCCATGGCTGCTCCCTTTGGCGCTGACCCAAGCATCACCATCCCAGGTGCGCTCTCACACCATCTGAAAGCTGCTTCTTTTCTCGCTTCACACCGCACTCGACCTAGCAGCACCATACCCCTTGTACAACCAGTGGACTGGGGGATATTGGACAAACAACTGTCACAGGGGGGTTATTGAGGGTCCTAATAGCTTATATACCTCCCCCGTGCATGTGGCAGGTGGTTCCGTGCCCCAAGCAGTGGGCGCCATTCTAGATGCTGCTCTCAGGAGAGGCCAACCCGTGCAGGTGCGTGCCTCATGCTTTCTCATGCCTTCCAATGCCTTCACCTGCCATCACATGCTTTCTCACGCCTTCCCATGCCTTCACCTGCCATCACATGCTTTCTCATGCCTTCCGATGCCTTCACCTGCCATCACATGCTTTCTCATGCCTTCCCATGCCTTCACCTGCCATCACATGCTTTCTCACGCCTTCCCATGCCTTCACCTGCCATCGCATCCCCCCACCAGGTGTCCATCTCACCCCTGGCAGTATCCCTCGCCTTCCGCCCGGCCAGCATGGCTCGCTTCTCCTCGTGGGGTCCCACACCCGATGGCCGCATCAAGCCCGACATCACTGCTCCAGGTAATGCTGGAAGGGCTTATGTTCGGTCCCTCGAGGCAGCCCAACATTGTTGTTTTTGGGCCCCCCTGCAAGGCAGAACGATGGTTGCTCTCGCCCATTCCTTCATTGCCGCATTCCTCCCTTCCCATATCGCATTCCTCACTCAGCTCGTCTCACTACTCGCTGTGCTGATCCGACTGCTCCCTGCACTTGTGGCTCTCCTCGTTTTGCTTGTCTCATCCCTTCCTTGCCGTTGCATGTCTCTTTCTGATTCCTTTTGGCAGGGGAGGGCATCTGGTCAGCAAAGAGCAACCCCAACCTTCGCCAGCCATCATGCGCCCTCACACGTGAGTGCTGCAGCCAGCCCTTCAGGTACCCATCAGTCAGGATTCGCTCAGGTGCTCATCTAATTTCAGGAGCTATCTGTCTGCTTTTCTCTTCCCCTTCTCCCAGAGATGCCAGGGACCTCCATATCCAACCCCCACGACTCCAGAAACTCTTCCTGATGCCTACTCTCTATCTGTTCTTCCTCACTTCACTTCTCTTCTCCTCCCACCCACCATCCAGAGATGTCAGGCACCTCAATGGCCACGCCTATCACTGCAGGCTCGGCTGCTCTGCTCAGGCAATACTTCATGGACGGCTTCTACCCCACTGGCCAAAGGGTAATCCCATGCTCTACCCTGTGACAGGTTTTGTGCATGCCTGTCAAATCTTTCTGTCACTCGCAGGCTATATGATATGTGAGGATGGTATCAGTGTTCATTTATGACAAAACGATTTAGTCGACTCAAAAGCCATATAAATGTTCATCTACAATCCCATTCCCCCTTTTGTGCTCTTGCATTCTTCCAGGTTCCAGCCAATGGTTTCGTGCCAAGTGGCATGCTGCTCAAGGCCACGTTGATAAACGGAGCCATGCCTCTCACAGTTGGAAACGGTGAGTCTCACTACAAGACACGAAATACTCTCTTCTCTCTGCTCTCTGCTCGTTGCTCTCTGCGTGTTGTTCTCTGCGATTTGTTTTTTTGCTTTTTTTTATCCTCAATATACTGTCCCTCTTTGATTTTCCCCTGCCTCTTTCACTCTGTGCCTGTGCTCCCTGTCCCTCACCAGGTGACCGCTACCCGATAGACGCACCACCCTCCATGAACCAGGGCTTTGGCCGCGTGCATCTGGCCAATGCTGTGCCTATAGCGGGTACAACGTCCTTCACTACAGTGGCGATCGAGGGACCTGCCCTGAAGACCGGTAACGGTTACCGCATCTGCTTGCTGGTTGATCCTGGGAGGAGTGATGGAGAAACAGGGAGCAACGATGTCAAGATCACGCTCACCTGGTAAGTGTTTTGTTTAGTCTGCTTTTAAACCCTCTCTGAAGCACTCCATATTCCACGTTCACCAAATCATTCCCCTCTTTCCTTGGTCCCACTCTGTCCAGGTACGATGCGCCGGCAGCCCTGGTGGCGAATCAGAACGCAGCAACGCCACTGCTGGTGAACAACCTGGACCTCTCAGTGACCTCCCCCACGGGCCACACCTTCTTTGGGAATGGGGGGCTGGCTCCTGATGCCCGCAACACTGTTGAGCAGGTACTTGCGGTTCTCACACGTCACAGAAGATGTGGTAGGTATCTTGCTGTCCTTGCCCCAATGCCACTGGCCTCATGTCGCATATCTGCCCCCCTGCCAACCATCTCCCCCCATGCCGCCCATGTGCCCCCATGCCACCCTTCTTCCCCCATGCCGCCCATCTGCCATCATACCCGCGCCGCATGTGCCCCCATGTGCGTGCAGGTGCACATCACAGCGCCACAGCATGGAGTGTACACAGTGGATGTGAGGGCAGTGCAGGTCAACATGCCCATGCCAGGCACGGCAGCAGACACCACTTCACACGCCTCACCAGCCAACCCGTCAGGCAGCCCCACAAGCAGGGCCTTTAGCAGGCCCCCTGGGAGGGCCCCTAGCAGCCCACCTAGCAGCAGGGACGGTGGGCAGCGCTTTGCTCTGGCTGCCAGAGGCCCCATCACTCAAGTCGACTGCCTCTGTGAGCCCTCTTCGCCTCTCCTCGCCACTTTTCACTCACCCCTTTTCACTCACCCCTTTTCACTCAACCCTCCATGCTTCTCCTTGCCCCTCCTTCCCTCCACCATGCCCCATGCCATTCTGGAACCTCTCTTCCCTTTCCCTCCTGCCAAACGTACTTTCCCTGACCCTTTCTTCTTCAAACACCCTTGCCCCCCCCCCTGCTCTCATCCCTCTCTTTTCTCACGCCCCTGCCTATCTTCCCTTTATTTTCTCCCCTAACCCCCACCCCGCCCTCTCCCATCCAGATGGGCAAGCGGACCCCCCTCCCCCGCCCCTATCCAGCAGCCCCTCTCTGTCCCACCCCACTCATTCTGCCTCTATTACACCCCCCTCTCCCTGCCCATTCCCGCCCTCTCCCATCCAGATGTGCAAGCGTACCCCCCTCCCCCGCCCCTATCCAACAGCCCTTCTCTCTCCATTCCGCTCCTCTTCCCCGCCAGCCCCGCCACCACTGTCCTCTGCGGTCTCACTCGGGTCACCACCATCACCAGCAGCAGCTACAGCACCAGCAGCAGCAGCAGCAGCAGTGCCGCATCAGCAGCTGTTCCCAGCACTGACGAACTGATGGATTATGCTGCAACTGACTCGTCTGCAGTGTTGGAGGATGGATGGGGTGGCGGACGGGGGGTGCAGGGTGCAGAGGCAATGAGTGAGGAGGCCGAGGGTGGGGTGTTGGGTAGTGTGGGAGGAGGAGCAGGAGAGGCAGGAGGGGAAAGCGGATGGGCAGAACAAGGGGCAGACAAAGGGGAGGCAGGAGAAGTGGGAGAAGCAGGAGAAGCAGGAGAGGAAGGAGGAGCAGGGGTAGCAGAACTGGGAGGCGCAGGGGAAGAAGAGAGTGGTGTGGTAGTGCTGCCATGGGGCCCTTGCACCTCACCTGTCACCTTCCCATTCCTCGATACTGGCACCTATGTCTTCTCAGCGCAGCTCCTAGACACCTCCTACACCAACACCCTCATCAGCCCTCTTTACAGGACCACCTTCGTGATAGATCACGAAGCACCCACCACCACACTCACCTCGGTTTACACCCCTGCTACCACCGCAACCGCTTCTTTCACCTTCTTCTCCCCATCTGCTGATGTCAGCCACTTCCAATGCCAGCTCAGCGCCTCGTCGCTCTCACCTCCCCCTGCCGACCCCATCACCCCGCAGCCAATCACGTTCGGCGAAGCAACCACCATCCCCACCCGCCTGCTCGAGTGGCTGTTCCCCCCCTCTACAGTAACACAGAGCGAGCAGCTCCCAGCCACAAGCCCAGGAGGACAAACCCCTCGTTTAAATCACACTCAGAGGAGCACCGCTTGGGCTAATTGCACCAGCCCAGTGACTTACCCTGGTATTTATGATGGTCGCTATGCCTTCTCTGTGAGAGCTGTGGATCAGGCTGGGAATGCGGATCCTAACCCCCCTATAGTCACATGGACGCTCGATACTGTCCTGCCGAAAGCTGTGATTCTAGAAGCGCCAGTGGTATATTCGAACCAAGGGAGCGTTCGGTTCACGTTTGCGCTTGATGGACAGGTGGACTCTGCACAGGCAGCGGCCTCACAGATGGCTTTTGAGGAGCTTCAGGAAATGCCGATGGTTAGTTCACAGATGAAAGGTTCCACGTTTGCCTTGGCGTCGGATCTGAGCAGATGGGAAGGCGGCGATGGGGAGGTAGCGTCTGATCTGGAAAGGGCCTCGCCGATGTCTTTTGAGGCGCTTCAGACATTGCCAGTGGTGGGTTCGGACCAGGAAGGTGCTCCATTTGCCCCAGAATCACCAGAATCACAGCCACTACAGTCACAGGGATCACCAGACGACTCACTAGAGTCACGAGGGCTAGCGGAGTGGAGCTGCAGCCTGCAGGCATGGAGTGGTGCCACGTCCCCGCCTCCCCTCTTCGACTGGCGCACCTGCAGTAGCCCCTTCCAGATAGGGCTGGCCGGCAGCAGTGACAGTAGTAAAAGTAGTGACAGCATCAACAGCAGCAACACTAGCAGTGGCAGCAGCAATGGCAGCAGCAGCAGTGCTAACAGCAGCAGCAGTGGGTGGTATCTCTCTGCACCGCTTCCAGATGGCATGTACCTCTTCAGTGTGCGTGCCACGTCAGCATGGAACCGCCACGGCCTCAACAACGCATCAGCCAGAGCAGCGTTCACCATCGACAGCACACGTCCACGCATACTGCTCCTCTCCCACCCCCCCCGCGTCCTCAGTCGCCCACAGGCTGTCTTCTCCTTCTTCTCCCCCAAAATGGTTACCTTCACCTGCCGACTCAACCCCTCCTCTCCTCTCACTTCCTCTCCCTCATCTTCCTCCTCTTCCTCCTCTTCCTCCTCTCCTTCCTCTCCACCCCTCTCTTCCACCACTCCCCTCTCGCCATGTGTCAGCCCCGTGCGCTACGACCTGCCAGATGGCACGTACACGTGGCAGCTGTCAGCCGTAGACTGGGCGGGGAACGAAGCAGAGCCGGTGCTGCTGGATTTCACGGTCGACAGCACACCCCCAACAGTGCAAATCCTGTCTCTCTCCGTCGTACCTGACTCCACTCCTCTCAACTCCTCCAACTCTACTCCTACCAACTCCTCCTTCCAGCTATCCACCTCGCTCCCCTCTGCTACCTTACTCGCCACCTTCACTAGTTCAGATGGCCAATCAGGCTCCGGAATCTCTGGATTCCTCTGCCACGTGGCATTCTCTGATTTGCCAAAGCTGCCGCCCCTAGCTCCAGGAGCCTGGGCGCCGTGCTCCAGTCCGTTGGAAGCACCTGGGCTTTCACCTGGGCAGTACAGACTGATAGTTGTGGCGAGGGACAGAGGTGGTATTGTCAGCACCAGACCTGCTATGAGCAGCTTCACTGTGGAGGCACCTGTGGTGGTCTCGGGTCTGGAAGAAGGAGGAGGAGGGGGAAGCAGCCAAGCAGATTCTCCTGAAACCGGCACCGATGGTGGTAGACCCGTTTCACAGACTGCTGCTGCTGCTTATGCTCCTGGTGTGTCATTCATCGCCCCCCTTCCACACGCATACAGCAGCAATAACTCCGCCACGCTCCACTTCATCACTATGCTCAGTAATAGAACGTCCTCAAACGAGGACAGCCATGTTCCACTGGATGGCCAAACAGCCCCCTGCGAATGCATCCTCCTCTCCACGCCCCATCAACCCTCCACGCCTTCCCAGTCTCCTCCGCCTCCCCCCCTCCTCTCATGGCCGTGCAGCAGTCCCATCCTCCTGTCCTCTCTCCTAGACGGCCGCCACCAGCTCTGGGTGCGCCTGCAGGAAGAGCAACGCAGTGGGGGGTCGTGGGCTGCCTTCTCCTGGGCTGTCGGTGCGTGCCCTTCTGCCCCTGTCTCTCCGTGCCCTCCTTGCTCTCTCTTTCTTGCTCTCCCTTTCTTGCTCTCTCTTTCTTGCTCTCCCTTTCTTGCTCTCCCTTTCTTGCTCTCCCTTTCTTGCTCTCCCTTTCTTGCTCTCCCTTACTTGCTCTCCCTTTCTTGCTCTCTAACACCATATCCCCCAGTTCGTTTGGTCACTCGTGTCTCTGCAGACGTCCTCTCACACGTCCTTCCCTCCTGCCCCCTGTCTCTCTCCTCCAGACACCACCCCACCCTCCACGTCCATCTCGTGGGCCAGTGACAGTGTGCCAGGTGTCGCCTCCTCGTTGAGCCCCACAGTGCGGGTGTCAGGGAGGGAGGAGGAGGGAGGGAGTGGGGTGGTGGGTCTTGAGTGTAAACTGGAGGCGATAATGGGAGGAGGGGGAGCAGGAGGAGGAGGAGGAGGAGGAGGAGGAGCAGTGTGGGAAGGAGGTGTAGAGGGGAGAGGAGGCACCACTGGAGGCACCTCCACGTGGCAGCCTTGCATTGGCTCATTCCCACCTGCACCCGACACGCCACCGGCCAATCACAGCACAGACAGCTCCACCTTCCCGCCACCGCCACACCCCCCTTCTCAACTCACAGCTGACGTCACCCTCGCCTCTCTCCTCCCCTCCCCATCCAGCACTCTCCCTGACGGCGCATACGCCTTCACTGCTGCCCTCCCTGATGGTATCTATGCCTTTAGTGCTCGGGCAGTGGACGCAGCAGGGAATGCGGACCCAAACCCGCCCTCAGTGCAGTTTGTGGTCAGTGCCTGGGCAATATCCCTGGCTGGGTTGGAAAGCAGAGAGGAGGGAGGAGGTGAAGGGGGGAGCGAGGGAGCAAATGCTGCTGACAGTGGCGGCAATGCTGCTACTGGTACCACTGCGGACACATACACTCCGTCCCGCCTTCTCTCCTCCTCCTTCCCCTCAGTCGCCATTGCATGTGACGGCCGCTGCGCTTCCATGCTGCCGGCCCCATTCGCCTTGGGGGATGCTCAAAAGGACGCACACCTCACCCAGTCCAACTCACCATCAGCAGCACCATCCCTGTTCCCTACCCCATTCCCATCCCCATCATCATCCTCATCCCCATCGCCACTCCCTTCACCATACCCTGCCTCCACCACCCTAGAGTCACTCGTTCCACCCAGCACTGCCAGCAATGGTGGCTTCAAGGTGCTGGTGACGAGGGGAGGAGACGTGCGGAGGGGAGAAGAACTGAAAGGAGGATCCCAGGATGGGCGTGTAGCAGTGGCACCGAGTCCAGCAGCAGAAGAGGCAACCTCTGCTTCTCAAGAGGAAGAGTCGCCTATGGTCTTTAACGTGCTCTCTCACGTTGTATCCTTCACCTTCCCTCCTGCTCCTCCTCCTCAGCCTCACTCTCACCCTCCTGCTGGTGACCCGAGAGTGGGGCCTGCCTCTCAGCCTGGCTCCCAGCCCCGCCCTGCCCTCGCGTCGCCTGCCCTCGCATTGCCTGCCCTTTCATCGCCTCTGCTTATGCTCGAGTTCACCCTGCTGGCCCCATGTGACCCTAGCAGCGGCAACTCTTTGTGTGCCGGTGCGCAAGCACTGGGGCCTGAGGCTGACCCAGCAGTGAACCCTCTGGCAGGAGCACTAGCACCTGCAGCAGCAGCACCAGTGGTAGCAGCGACACCACTTCCAGCAGCAGCAGCAGCAGCAGCGGAAGCAGCAGCAGCAGCAGCAGCAGCAGCAGCAGCGGCGGCGGCGGCGGTGGCTGTGGCTGTGCAAGGTTTCTCACTGCAGGAGGTTCTTTCCTCCACCATGAATGCGTCCCTTCCTGCACCTCATGCCATCGCCATCCTCTTCCACCCTCACACAATAGCCACATCCCCATCACCATCATCACCAGCGCCATCCTCATCTCTGCACCAGCATGGCAACCCCCCAGTGGAAGGCTGGCAGCTGCTGGACCCGCGTCTGCTGTGGCAGCAGCAGCAGCAGCAGCAGCATCGGCGTGGCCACCTTCTCTGCCCCGTGCCCTGGGCTCTACGCCATGGCAGTGCAAGAAACCAGTGAGTGCTCCACCCTAATGACCTTACTTGGCACCTCAAAAACTTTTTCTGCATCCTGCCCTGGGGACACTGTGGAGTGGCAATGCATGAACCCTTTTCCTTCCTTTTCTGGCACCTCCATACCCTGCTCCCTCTTCTCTGCCCACATCCCTTACCCACATAACATCCTAAATCCGATCATGCTCCCCTCCCCTCTCGCTGTTGCTGTGCCTCTGCGTCCGTCTACCTGCCCTACCTTGAACTGGAGTGCGTGTGGTTGGTTCAGGCTATCAAGACCCATCAACCACTCTCAGCAGCGCCTCACCAGCCGCAGAAACAAGCTCTCCCGCTGCGTCCAGCAAGGCATGGGTGATAGCGCTGGCAGTCTCGCTCGGTGTCGGTGCTCTCGTGGTCGCAGTGGGGCTTGCGGTGATTTTTGTTCGGGTCAGAGGGCGTGCCAGGGTTTCGCCGCACCTGCGCAAGTGAGGAAGCGAGTGACGAGTCTTCCAATTCCTCCCCACCTGCTGCTGTCAATGCATGCGAGCGCCTTCAGTCGTGACTCATGACCACTGAAAGGGCTTCCTTCGTGACTTGTGGCACCTTGGCCTCGAATAAGGGCAGCTGTGCCTGGTGCACTGCCATATGATGGATGGCATGGCATGGCATGACATGGCATGGCATAGCATTTTTTCTTGCAATGGCCTGAGGTGCAGCCAACTCACAAAATTCATGGCAACAGGAGTGTCCTTTTGAGCGTGCTTTCACAGGTGCACCTTGTTGGGTTCCCCAAGGGAAGTGCTTGGTTGTGATACTTTCCGCGCGCTTCTTAAACTAGGCGTTGATATGGCATCCGTTCTTTCTGGAATGCTTTGAGATGCATGGAATAACATAGAATTGAGTCCTATTCAGGGCACTAAGCTGCTAGCAAGTAAACTGGATCAGCAGGGAAAAAAAAAGTGCATTTTCTTCTAAGGCGCTGCTCTAACCAGCTCAGCACGTTCTCTCTTATTCACCTTCACAGCACAGCTGCACAAGAGATGAGACTGAATCCTGACTCCTCTCCCAGCACTAAGGGTGCAGCCCGCTCCATGCAACGTGTGCTGTATTCTCTTTCCTGGCCAGGCATGAACGACAAGGAGAGAGTTTAGATTGTACCCGCTCACACGAAGGGTCGAAAGCATTGGGGGGGGGGGGGGGGGGGGGGGGGAATATGCGGCTAGTAGGAACAGTCGATTGTATGTAGAAAGAGTGCATTATGGAACAGTAAAGTGAGGTATAGCGAGAGATATATCTTACCAGTACAATTTGTCTTCTGGGAGTGTGCTACACATTGCTGTCCGCCCCAACCTCCACTTGTTCCCGCTCTGCTTGCTCCTCCTCTTTCCGCTTCTCTTTCTTATCCTTCTTCTCCTTTTTTTCCTTCTTCCCCTTCTTCCCCTTCTTCTGATCTTCACCCTTCTCACCCCCCTTCGCTTCCTCGCAGATATCCCCCCCCACACCCACATCTCCCACACTGCCCCTCTCTCCTGCATCTTCCTTCCTCATCCCCTCTTCACTCCCTTGCTCAGTTCCCCCTTCTCTCTCCGCCCTCCCTGTAGCTTCTCCCATCTCCTCCCCACTAACCTCCTCCACCCCCTCCCCCATCTCTTCCCCACTAACCTCCGTCGCCCCTTCCCTCATGTCCTCCCTACTAACCTCCAACCCCTTCCCCATCTCCTCCCCACTAACCTCCACCAATCTCTCCCCCAACTTCTCTTCTCCTCCACTCACCTTCCCCCCCTCCTCCTCCCCAACCACGAATTCCCCAGCCTCAGGCTCAGGTTCGGGAATATCCACCACCATCACCCCACCCTCCTTGACCAACTCCTCATGAATAGCTAGCAGACGCTCAGCAACCTTTTTCATAGCGGGGCGTTTCTTAGCGGGGAAAAGCTGACAGTCCAGCCCAACCTGTAACACTCTCCGAATGACGTCAGCAGGGTAGGCAGTGCCGAGCCGCGGATCCACTATACTCCCTATGCTGGCCTCTCCTCCGGACCTAAGGCGCTTCGAGACCCACGTGCCTAGGTCCAGCTTCGCGGTAGCTTCGCCAGGCTCGTTCTCAATCACGGGTGGGCGGCCGGTGAATATCTGCAGGAGGATAACGCCAAACGCGTACACGTCATTGGGCGGCGACGATTTCCTCGTGATGTTAAAACTGGGGTCGATGTAACCACTTATCGCGAGCGTCGGCGCGTGTGGTAACCCGCCCAGCATGCTCGCGCCGCCAGTGATGTCTCGGGTCATCAAAACTTTCATTCGCCCGATGTTCCCCACCTTGGGAACGCCGTTCGTGTCGAAAATTATGTTCTTCGGATGCAACCCCTCAACTAAATACGGCCTGGGGAACTCTGTGTGCAGGTACGCTACCGCCTCGGCAATATCAACGGCGATCAGTAGCCGGTGCAGGAAATCGAACGGTATTCCTTCCTCCTCGCCCTCCGCAACAACCCCGAGGTCCTTGAGCGCGCGAGCGTTTCGCGAACCCCTTCGCCACGTCGTAATTTTCTCCCGCCACACGTCAGCATTCCCGAAAATCATCGACTCCAAGCTCGGCCCTCCCACGAACTCGTATATAAGCACCCTCTCGCCGCACTCGAAACAGTAACCCAGCAGCTGGATCACATTCTGGTGGCATAGTACCGCCATAGATCTCGCGCTGAAGATGAAATCCGCTTCTAGCTCCGCATACGCCGCCGGGTTTGCCGGGCGAAACGTCACCATGCCGCCGTTATCCCCGCCCCCGGGCCGCCAAACGGATCTCTTAATCGCCCACTGCGCTCCGTTCAGTCCCGCGCCTCGGTAAACCTCGGACGTGCTTCCTTTTCCGAGAAAGTTCTGCTTACTGAAGTTCCTTGTAGCGCGAGTTACCTGTAGCAGGTCGAACTGCTGGAACGACATGCTCCGCTGCTGCGCAGCTCTCTTGCGCGCCATGTCCTTAAAGCCCGGCGACCGCAGCACCTTGCGCCAAAACTTTGCGCCAGCGTGCGGGGATCTCAGCGCCAGCTGCGGAGCGCCGACGTCGGGTGGAATGGTAATCGCCGTCACGCCAGCAGCGACGTAAGGCGCGGCGGAGTTATACCCGCTGCCGTACTTGACGCCGAGGCTATTCGATGGAGTCGCCTTCGCGCCGCCATCCGCGTCATCTGTCGCGACGACCCGTCGGTGGCGCTTCCAGGGGCAGCAGCAGCCGCCGCAGCAGAACACGTTGTAGCAGCATTCGCAGCAGCCTTTGGAAGACTTGTAGCAGCGGCAGCAGATGCAGAGCAGCGCGATGAGGATTATTGCAGCGACCACGCCTGCTACAATCAGTGCCCATAAGGGTATCTCTTTCCCAGCAATCTCCATCTTTCCGCGCCTTCTTGTTGTATCTGCGCGGGCTGCCAACGTGAGCCTTCGGTAGAAGAATCGGCCTTTTCTTAACCTTCGCTAACGATAGTAGAACTAATGCCACTGACCGGCCAAGCTACGGAGAGCCGGATGGATTGAGTTAAATTCAGTCGAGTCGGAGACCGAGAGCACGATGTTGAAGTGAGATACCGCGCACTAAGGATAATTTTAGTGCTTCCAGGGATACGAAGCGCGTCTGGAAACCACACCAAGAAAAAAAAAGGACGGTATGTACGGGTCCGTGGGTCAGTGAGTTACGGATTGAATTTTCGCATTATTCATGCGCCAGATCATTTTTCCGGAACTCTGCGACTCCATGATAATGGATGTGCAGGCCTCGGCTGAAACGAAGCAAACGTGATCCTACTCGTTTGTCTGGAGAGCGCAGCAGAGGAGCAATTCATTACTGTTCGGACCACCCTCGTCGACCAACCTAGTTCAGTCAATTTTGCCTTTGTTCTTTGACGTGGTAGTGACGCGACGAGATGAAGGCTTGAGAGAGTGGGGGAGGGAAGAACGCTGGCAATGCAAGGCAAGGCAACGAATGCTTGGCGTTGTGTGAGTGATGTCAAAAGTGTGCCGCACAATTATTGAAGATTGTCCGACACGAATTACCGAGTCGCAAATGTCTGCTTGGATTGCGGCTCGGTGAACGTCGCTACGTCGCATTTTTTGTTGCCGAGCAGTTGACATCGAGTCTGCATAATTATTGGTGGCCTGGCAAAAACAACTCCGTTTCAGATTATTACCATGACGTACGAACTAGATATAGATTGATATGATTGTAGCTGGTGTGTTATGCATTAATAGGAAATGGTGGCGTTCATCAAATAGACCTGTTTCCGGTGTGGAAAAAAACACCCTCAAACGTTTCTCCGTTACTTTACGAGACTTATAGCTCCAGTTACCTTCAGTCCCTTTGTAACAGCTAGGGTGCCAATGCCACCATTTTCAGATTCCAGGATGTTCTCCTGCTGGCTCTCGTCGCAAGAATGGACTGGATACATATCATATGTACATTCATTCGAGTCAAAATTGGTGAGCTCGTGCTCCGAAATCGCCCATCGCAGCGTAAAACAACTCAACCATCAACATTGATAAGCACCTCCTCTGCTAACCCTGCACTGAGGACAATCAAAGGCAAACAATCCACAACCTTCTAACTCCAATGTTCTCCAATTCTCACCACCTTGTACAGTCACATAGTCATGTTACGACTCAACTCCGCCCGAATCGCACTGTGAGCACAGCATGGTCGGAAATGGTGTAGTCTTCCGGCCACACACCCTCCTCCATGGCCCTTGGGAACAGCGTTGCTTGCAACACGTCCAGATTCAATGCACCTTGCTGCTGCACGTTCCTTCCCTCCCTTTCACTGCTCCCTCGCATCGTTCCATTACCCAGCTGCTCCTTCTTCACCCTCCTCTCTGTCGTCCCTCCCACTCTTCCCTCTGTTTTCTCACCTTCCCCTATTGTGTGAGTCTGAAGAGCCACAGCCTTGCTAAAAGAACATCCTTTACAGTCACCTCGGCGAGCTTTACACCCAGATAGGCCCATTTTCTTCCGCAATCTCTTACACTCTGCCTCTATTTGCCTCTCCTGTTGCTGCTGGCACTGGTGATGCTCCTGGTTATGCTGTTGCTGGTTTTGCTGTTGCTGCGGCTCGAAGGACTGTCTTCTTGCTGAGGCAGCGACAGCATGAGAAAATGCAAGAGGGTCGGCTGAAGCTGTGATAGGGTCGGCAATGCCGGACCTGAAGAGCGGGAGATGGCTGAAAAGGTGCAGATGAGGCAACTGCATGGAAGATTCGGTTGAGCGGAATAAGCGAAGGAAGTGAATGGGTGCCGGGGAGAAGGTGGGAGGAGAGGAGGAGGTAGGAGGGGAAGAGGAGGAGGAGGAGCAAGTCATGACTGGCAGGGAGTGAGTGCGAGTGTGAGAAAGCGAGTGGAGAGGAGAAGGGGAGAGGAGTGAGAGGGGAGATGCAGACAAGGGTGCTGATGATGGGAATGGGGAGAAATGGGAAGATGGGGAGGAGGGTAGTGATGGTTGTGGCAAAGGGTGGAACTGGAGAGGGCCAGAGGCGGGACTGCTGCTGATGTCACTCGAGGAACCGCTTATGTCAGGTGATGCAATGCTGATGTCACTCGAGGCACTGCTGATGTCAGAGGCGGTTCTGTGAACGTCAGCAGCACCTGCAGCAGTTGAGTCAGCAGGTGGTGGAAGTGAGTCAGCAGAACATGACGTGGCAAGAGAGTGTCTGAGAGCTGCCACAGTGTCGTCCCACGTGGGCTGGTCAAAGATATCCTGGTGGAAATCGAAATGAGGGGATAAGGAAAAAGAGGCAAGGAGAGATAAGCATAGGGGATGAGTAAGGGAGGATGAGGAGGTAGGAATAGAGATATTGCTTGGGTGCAAGAGGCACGACTGAGTCTGCACAGGCAGATGTCCCACTATGAACAGGAGTGAATTGAAGTCAATGCAAGTCAATGAGAGTGATCAACAAGTAACCGAAGAGAACACGCAGGAATCGGTTATTCCACCTTGAAGTCTTCAAAGTCAACGCAGCCCTTCCCCTGGCAGTCAGCGGACCGCATGAGCTCCTCCACCTCGATGCGCGTCAGTCCGATGGAGTCAACGCCAGTCAACCCCAGTCGGTCCAGACCCCTCTGGAAATCGCCCATGCTGAAAGCAGCAGCCGCCTGTTCCCCTGCCGCCCGCCCCTCTGCCGTCCGTTTCTGTGCCGCCCGCCTTTCACCCGCCCGCAGGAAAAAGTCAAAAGCAGCTTCCACGTTGGTGATGCCCGCTGAAGCGAGCTTGGACCTGATAAGGCCAAAAACCGCCGTCCGCCAGTTGACTGCAAGCGTTCGTTGGTGCTGCTCTGGATTGAGCACCCACACGTAGTCCACCCCGCATAGGTTGCCGTGGTGGTTGCGGTGACTCACCCACTGGGGGAAGGGAGAGAGAAAGGAGAGGCGAGCACATAAATAAGTTGACTGCAAGCGTTCGTTGGTGCTGCTCTGGATTGAGCACCCACACGTAGTCCACCCCGCATAGATTGCCGTGGTGGTTGCGGTGACTCACCCACTGGGGAAAAAAGGAAGGAGGGGAAACAGAGAGAGGAATGAAGGAGGGAGATGATGAAGGGATAGAACCAGGAGAGGTAAGCACCGAGCCAAGCTTGCTGCTAGCTTGAGGGACCACTGGTATCCCAGTGGTATCCCAGTGGTATCCCAGTGGTCTATATGCTTGATAGAACGACAGAGTGAGCACTGGCGACGACGACGACGAGCAGGTATTCAGCAGAATTCCACTTACTATGCTCAAGCAGTACCTGCTCGTCGTCGTCGCTGTGGTGGTGTGCCGAGTCCAAGGAGGACACAAAGCCCTCTGAATGATGGAAGGCTTGACACTAGTGCTTGCCAAGTACAAACGGATGATGGAGGCAGGGAGTACCCGTGCAGCACGGCAGTACCTTCTTAAACGGTACCTGCTCGTCGTCGTCGCTGTGGTGGTGTGCCGAGTCAAAGGAGGACACGAAGCCGTGCGCCCTGAGCAGCTTGTACACGTTGCCCTGCTTCGTGCCGTTCAGGTCCCTGCGTTGCCAGCCACACAGCCGTACAATCACAGGAATCCCACAGCAAAGTTAGACAGCGACAAAAGGAACACCAAACACTGTAATTGTATATCGACTGGGAGCATGACAGGGAGTGGGGAAAAGACCGGCTCGAAAGCAAGTATTCTGCAGGAAGCCACAAGGGAAGAGGAGAGACAACTTCAGGGATAAAACAGTCAGCTGCACATGCAGAGATACAGGCCGGGAACTCACCCGCAGAGTATGATGGGCAGTGCACCTGCGTGGTGCTCCTCTCTGTACCCATCAATGCGCTCCAGGAGCTTGTATACCTGGGCACACACGCACATGAGCACAGACGCACAGGCGCACATACGCATACACGGGCACACGCGCACGCGCAGGCGCACACATGATGCACAGGCACACATACGCATACACGCGCACGCGCATGCGCACACATGATGCACAGGCAACGTTGGAGTTGACTTTTGAGTATCTCTTGAGAATGCTCGGAGTAAGTCGTCAAATAGAGCTTGCACACCTGGCACACACCTGGCACACACCTGGCACACACCTGGCACACACCTGGCACACACCTGGCACACACCTGGCACACACCTGGCACACACCTGGCACACACCTGGCACACACCTGGCACACACCTGGCACACACCTGGCACACACCTGGCACACACCTGGCACACACCTGGCACACACCTGGCACACACCTGGCACACACCTGGCACACACCTGGCAGAGGCGCACAATGCTGGAGTTGGCGTCGTGTGGGAAGAGCAAATGCGTGTTCGCCACCAGAACCTCCTCGCCTTCCCCCTTTCCCTCCTCCTCCTCTCCTCCCCTCATACTTCTCTCCCCTCCCCTTCCTCCTCGCCTCGCCCGGAGTCGGACAATCTGTGCCACCCGGTCCCCACAGTCATTGAAGCACAGCGGGTGGTGGTCAACCGCCTCCCACTCGGATGCCCTCACTGCCATCATGAGGCCTGCGGAATCGGATGGGGGAGGGATGGTTGAATGGAATAAAGGTGCGGACAGTGGTCAATCAAAATTGACGCAAAGCAGGTGGTGGTCTACCACCTCCAATTCCGATGCTCTCACTGCCATATCAGGCCTGGAAATGTTAAGAGGGCACCAAATGGAGGGTGGAAGGGCAGACGGTGAGAAAGAATGGGAAATAAACAGAATCAAGGGAGCTCCCAAGGGAGACAGTTTCAGATGACAGTGCATATATACACAGTTGCATGATGGTCGCTCACCATCTCCCCTGGCGTTTGTGCGAGGCAGCTTGAGAAGCTGGTAACCAGCACCCTGTAACGCTGTGTCGTACATGTCTACCCACTCCGGATTGGCCAGCCAACATTCCTGCAAAACAGATTGGCACAAGAAAAAAAATATATATATATATATATATATATATATATATATATATATATATATGAGGAAGGAAGTCACAAATGGATGGCAATCTCGAGAAACTAACCTTGCCAATAACAATTTACAGCAAATAAAGTAACCTGAGTCTGATTTCCGTAAACCCGAGCCGCTTACAACCTACAACTAGGGTACCTGCAGGCATAGGATGGAAGAGTCGGTGTCAAGCAACGTTTTGATGATCTGCTGATTGCGCTCCCGCCATACGTGCTGACAGGCGCTCTCCCTCTCGCTCTGCCGCAATAGACACACGGTGAGAGATGGGAGGAACCAGCAGTAGCAACGTCACTTGGCTCGTTAAAAAACTAATTTGGATTTGAAATTATAACACAACGCATGTTAGAAGTGCATAGGCTTATGAAAAGAACATGGATAATTAATCTCTAACTCCTCTCTCCGTGTTCGCTTTACCTCGACACCCATTCTCTTGTAAATCGGCGCAAGCACGTTGAACGTCGTACACGATAGAACCGTTTTCTCCTCCACCGTTCGCCGCCGTTCCTCGTTCATCGCCTCCGCGCGCGCTTCCTCCACCACCGCCATCGCCGCTGCGCTCTGGTAACCCCGCGCCGCATAGCTCAGGCGCCTCTCGCCGCCAGTCACGCCGCAAAAACCGCTCATGAATGCGTCGCGATGCCGTAATAAGGGCCGACTTCCCTCGTGAGAAGAAAAAAACGAGAACTCGCAGCCATGAGTTCTTTGTGACCCGTAGGACACGGCGTAAGCCTCGCTTAATGCTTGCCGATCCGAAAACACGCCATCGCGACTCAAGGTTCCTGATTGTCTTTGCCGGGCGGCGAACGTTTGAGAATTGTCCCTCGCGACGCCCGCGAAAGCGTGGAGGTAACCGAGGTGACCAATTTGGCCTCGAAGCGAGGTAACGCCCAGCCTCAATCTCTCCATAGGAGAGTCGTGAAATTGATCGTGCGAAGTTCGACAACGTTCGCATGACGACGACGACGCGTCTGTATCTTCGCAACAGCTCGCGGAATCGCAGCAATTGACCGTTTGACGAACAGAGGTCGAAGCGGGAAACCACTCGTCGGAAGGTTGTGAGACGAAGCGTGAAACGCAAGGCGACGCAAATCTCGAGAACAGTGGCGGCAAGACCGTTGCCGCTGAGGAGGATAGCATCTGCTGCCATGATGGCGTGGCGAACCCAGAGTTGATTCGGCGCGCACAAGCAGGCAGCATTTGGCGGGAATCCCGCAAAACTTACAGCATGCATGACGACTGCTGATTAGGCTAGCTAAAGCTGGGAAAAGGTAGAGCGGCGAACTGACACTTTGCTTGGATGGCAGTCCGCCTGTCCGTCACTTGTCCTGTGGTCTGTGGGGAGACTGTAGGCTCGAGAAGGGCGAGTTTGAGTTGAATGTTCGGCAGACTAGAAAGATGTTAGCTGAGGCGCGTGGGATGCTTGGATTTTACAGGGAAGCGAAGGGGTGGGAAGACAAACCGTAGTTGTAGTGGCGAAGTGCTACGATAAAACTTGCTCGCCGCATGTGTTCGCTTGGCGGCTGGAAGCAGCAAGAAAGGCTTCACATGTTGACGATTTGTTCGCTTATTGGCAGCGGTCGAGTTACCCAAGGGTTGCGCGGCGGGTGATCATCCTTCAAGCAGCTGATTGGCTATTGAAGCAGCCCTGATTACAGTTGTTCTCGTTTAAAGTCCGACGGAGAAACACGCCGCGCGCGGACTATATGTCAAAATGTCCGAAACCCCGGGCAAACGGGACCCTATAGTCCCAAATTCAAGAGAATTGCATGAAAAGCGGTTTTTCGTCTCTACTGGTTGTTGTTTTTTTGTCATATACGTACGTATGGACCGCGCTTGCTTCAACTTCTCGTCGAACGGTTTTACGCGTTATCAGTGGTGCGTGTAAAACGGGCAGAAATAAACAACATCGATTATGTTTGATGCCATAATAAGTTTGTCTTTTTGTTTTTCCTTCCTGTCAGCGAGATTACTGAGATGTCATCGTGGAGCGCGCTAGGAATCGCGCGACGGGAATAAGAAACAAGCGCGGTCAAGAGAAACAAAAAATATCAGTTGTGAATGTTTAATTCAAAACAAAAATGCCCTTTTTAGCATTCTCCGTAAATGTTCAAGGCACTTATACGTGCAATGAACCTGGTCAAAAAAGGGACTGTAGAGGAGGGGCCACACCTAGGAATTAAAGGAAAAAGCTCCTCATTCTGAAAACGGAACTTTGTGAGCGCGGGACTTAATAGCGGAACCATTTGTATCTCCAGACCAGAGTCACCTTTGTGCCTGCTGAGATGTGACCAAAAAATTATGCTCCAAAAGTATTCGATCCACGTAGACATATCCAGTAAGTTACTTTTCGTCCGTCACCATCCCCGTCAAGCTTGCGCGGCATTGCCGCACTCCCCCGCGTGAAGACTGGCCGGGACGTCAGCCACGGATCATCACACGCCAGTTTTAGGCATTTGTTCGTCAGCAGTCGCCGTCGGGCAGTTGCTACTTGCCGACCCTGAATCAATCACATCCCCCATACCATACCACCTCAGGTGTACAGTTTCCGCACGACTGCTTCTAGGGTGGTTTTCCGTCCCGTCCCGTGTCCACATTCAACCCTTTTCATCAACATTCATTTCCATCACAATCATGAATACAATACTAAACTCTCAAATGGCTGTACATAAGTTTACTTTCTCAATACTTGTAGATGATTTACTGCTAGGTAGCACTTCTGCTGGTAACTATTTTCGTTCATCGTCGTCACTTCCCCACACCCTCCCCCCCAATCTCGTGCCGCACAAAACGTCGTCCTATTTCCGGCGAATGACGCGCATCGTCGAAAATCGTGTACATAGTATTGACAGACCTACTTCCTGTGTGCCTTCGCAACCATCGTAACTGGTGTGTTTTCTCGCCGTTCAATTCGTGAATCGTCGCAGCCTCGCCCTCACAACCGAACAACCATTCCACGCCTCTTCGCCACCCGTCGCAAACATATACTTCGCTTGCCTCGTCTTCTGCCTCGTCAATGATGGAAACGCAATTTGCCTTCAATCTTCATCAGCAAGCCTCCAGGCGAGGCTCTCGTTTGCTACAGAACAGTCGCCTGCACCGTTTTCCAACCGTATCGCCTGTTCCATTTCAGCCCTCTGCCGCCATAGCAATCGAAATAGCCCTCACTCTGGCAATCAAGCAGTCACACTACACAGATTGTCGCTGAGATCTGCGCGACGAAGTGCTACAACTTATCGCAGAGGGTGTCTGACAGATCGTAGGTCCAAGCAACACCATCAGCCCGATACGATTTTTCAGCCACCGCGAACGCGAACATCAACCACCAGGGCTCGGACTATAACACCTCCACCCTTCTGCCCGGAACCCATGTTTTCCAGTCCCCTATGAGTACAATGTTCCATTCTATCTGGAGTTTCACAGCGGTAATCAGCGACCGACAACCTCTTCACTTGCTCCTCCGTCCGCCATGGCTGCCGCGAATGAGCAGCACAGCGTGCCTTGGCTTTGCGTGAGAACTCGCTCGCGTCATGTGTTGTAGTAGCGAGGGGGTTGGACGACACAAGACCCTGAAAGGAGTGCAGGTTGAAGCCGCTTAGCGTAAGCGCCGCGTAGAGATTGGTGCTCGGAGCGCCCGTATAGCGAGGTTGTTCGCTCCCGTGCTAAGTTAGACAGATGTCGTCACTCGTAATGTCGAAAAACCCTCAACGAGTTTCGCCACGCAGTCATCGGGTAACACCGTGTCGCCACAGATGGCGACTCCCCGCCTCGCCTAGCTTGCTCCTGCTCGGTCTCCTCCTTGCCCTTCCACTCGCGTCGATCACCGCAACTGCCGCCGTAACTTCCGCCGCAAGTGCCGCATCGCCGGGTGAGATAGAAGCAACTCTCCACAAAGTCACGAGCCCGTCGGATCCTGCGCAGCCGGCGCCGTCGGTGCCGTCGAAACCGGGCCAAAGCGGGCAGATTTCAATGCTCACCGCTATTACCAGCTGCCCGGACGAAGCGTTTTCCTGCCCCGCGCCCGTCACCGTGGTTTCGCCGAGCCCTGCCGCGAGTTGCCTCCGGATCCCACGGCCTAGCGCGAGTCGGTCGTTCAAGATCGATTGGCTGGGGGATGCGTCTGCTCTCGCTGCTCTCGCAGCGAGCAATGCGACGGATAAGATCGCTTCTGGCGGTACGGGCATTCCTGCTACAAGCACATCCGCTACAAGCACTCCTGCTATAACCACTATCGCTACAGGCAATATGGAAGCGATTCAGGGTGGAAAATTGAGCGGCGAGCGCATGTACGTCTGCCGGACGTTAGTCTTCTGGTCGGCCGTCAACTGCTCGTCGTTAGAACCATCTTTCGCCGTCGTGATGCCCAAATGGGATTACCTAATCTATACCGCCCGATCCTCCCCACATTGTTCATCCAACGGCTCATCTTCAAGTACTTCCGCAAAACCCGGATCAGGGGAATCGGCAGGGGGATCAGCAGGGGGGACGACGGGGGAACCCGCCTTGAAAGCTACCAGCAAAGTAGCTCTCGATTCCCCTGGAAGCATAAGCGCTGCCGCGGACTCAGCGCCGCAACATTCGGCGGGCGCTGCGGGATCCAGGTTACGGGGGGACGGGTAATGCACCCGATTACGCTGCAGGGAGGGGCGGCAGGCGCGCCGTTCGCCGCGCCGCAGAAGATGGAAATCAGGTCGATTAGTTGCGAGGCAATAGAGCCGTTCGATACTGCTACACTCGCGCTGCTCTTATCCTCCCCCGCGCCTTGCGCTCCCGCTAACATCGGATCTGCCGCTTCTCCTTCAGAGGGCCCCGCGTCCGCAAATTCCGGTAACACCACGGATATTTCTGCCACGTCATCATCGACGTATTCGTCTTCTTACCCCGTCCCTGCGAACGCAACTGCCACGTCGGATTCCGGATCATCGTACAGCGTCACTTTATTCGCGTTAGCAGTCGCCGCAGCGTCGGTGTGCGTACTGGCGTTCGTCGGAGCCGCGTTCTACTTCGCCCCTGAGTTCGCCATCCGAACCACGTCCGCCGCCGCCGCCGCGAGTGCAGCCGCGTCTCTCGCCGCGGAAAACGCCGCGTCAACCGCGGGTCACGAGCGCGGGCGCGGAGATTCCCGCTCTGACTCCTCCCCCTCCGCCCTGGTGCGCTCCTCCCGCGCTCCCTCATCCTCGTCTCCGGACTCCTCGTTATCGTCACTAGCCGCTGCCTCTTCCTCCTCCTCCTCTTCCCCCCTTCGTATGATTCCCGTTCCTCCCGTTTCCGCCACGGGCGTGGCGGAGAGCAGGGGGCAGGGGGGAGGGAACAGGGCGGAAGGCAACAGGGGGAGCGCGCGGCAAGGGGAAGAGGGGAGGCGATAGGATGGTTAGTCCGAGTTGACCGTGAGATGAGGGGTTGATCTCAAAGTTCACGCCATGCTTGGCGTAAGATGAGGGGTTGATCTCAAAGTTCACGCCATGCTTGGCGTGAAATGACTCCTCCAAGCATCTCAAACCACATGCTTGTTATACTCGGAGGATAACATGTGGTTGCGCCACCATGCC